AAATGAGAAGATTCTCAATTTTTTTTAAAGTCGCGAAAAAAAAAAATGAATGACCGCATCAGCAGGAGCGGATTTTTACAACAACAACAAGGCTCATCGTTCTTGTGTGTTGTGAGCAACAACAGCCTTATTTCATCATCATCACCACCATCATCATTACCACCCTTCTCATCGTCCTCGTTATTCAGTGAGAGGTCGGAGGAGGAGATTTTAGGAACCTTTGGCTCTGTATATTCATGTTCCATTCCAATGGTAGCATCATTAATGGAATCATCATTGGAAAAATTGGCTGCAATCAGGTCTGACCCGGTCATGTCTAAGGAGATGAACCATACCGCATCGTCGTGGAAGAGTAATTGTATGACAAGTTGTAGAAATAATTATTTTCGTAATTTAATTGAAATTCGGAACAGTCCTACAATGGGTGGAAGTATTTCTGTTTTGAATGAAAAGTACAACAACAGCAAGTGCTTCAAGCATTCTGCTCCCTGTCTTCAAAATTTTCATCATGATTCGAGAAGAATTTATGAAGACGTTTGTGTGTGCTCTCCATTATCATCATCGTCAACAAACAAATCCAAGGAGCATTCGTATCATGATGAGGACGACACGAGCACATACAGCTCACCAGTTCAACAACAGGTAGAACAACATCATCACATTCTTTCTACCACGTCGCTGCACACAACTCATAGTTCCACAATTTCAACACCAACCGAGATAATTGTTTCAGCAGCATCAGCAAATTCCTCTAACCCAACATCACCATCATCGTCTGGACAAGTGTTTTATTGGACACTCTCCAAAAATCTACTTGCAGGAGCAATGGCCCGATGTGGAGCTGCTGTAATTATGTTTCCTATCGATGTTGTTAAAACACGATTGCAATTTCAAAGAAAAGATGCATTCAAACAAGGCAAACTTCGTCATCACTACAAACACGGTGTAGATGCATTTCTAACAATTTTGAAGGAAGAGGGAATTAGAGGTCTCTATAAAGGACTCTCTGTTCGGTTAATTTACATCACACCAGCTGCTGCCGTGAGTTTTACAGTGTATGAACAGTTCATGCAATCGATTCAAAGCAAAGTGCCAATATTAAAAGGAGGAACAAGTGCATTGAACGATAATGGCAATTCAAATGGCAACAATTTTTCGTGGAAAACTCCGATTTTGACATTATCGGCAGGAGCTTTGGCTAGAGTTTTAGGAACAGCATGTCGAACACCATTCGATATTTTGAAACAACAATTACAAGTGGAAGGTCAATTAAAATCACAACATGCAGAAAAAAGAGGAATTATTGGAACGCTAAAAACTATTGCAAAACAAGATGGTATTTCTGGATTCTTCTCAGGTTATGCAGTGACACTATTGAGAGACGCTCCTTTTGCAGCCATTTATTTCACCTCCTATGAAATGATTAAGCGATTATTGCGCCGGGGAGATTCGAACATCTACCAAGATGTAGATCCAAATACTGGAAGAAGAAAATCAGGAAAATCCATTCACCACTTATTTGCAGGAGCACTCGCAGGTGCCATTGGTACCACTTGCACCATTCCAGTCGACGTGGTGAAAACAAGACTTCAAACACAAAGCAAAACAGGAAAAAAGGAATACGATGGAATTGCAGATGCATTCCGAAAGATTTACAAGGAAGAAGGTTGGAAAGGTTTCACAAGAGGTCTAGGACCTCGATTGATTTACATCATGCCTGCCTCTGCATTGACATTTACTCTTTACGAAAAATTGAAGGTTTTCTTTAATATTAATGAAACTAAAAAACCGGAGACAACCACCACAACCTCACAATAGAGCATCATGACCAAGGGGAGATCCTATTGTGGAGATGTGGAATCCAATTTTGATTCAAAGCAGAATTGTGTAATATATTTTCGAATAGCTGTTCATCCTCGTGAACATGGTCATCACCTCCTTATGACGATGACTGACATGAACTAACTTCTTGCAACTCTCCTCCAATGTCGTGACATCATCCCTACAAAAATATCTTTCCACTCGTCACGCATCCACAACAACCTTCTCTCAGCCAAAAAAAATGTCATCCACACAAAAACAACAATTAACACCTCAACAATTAGAGGAAATTAGAAAAGCATTCAAAAATTGTGACAAGGATAACTCCAACTCCATCGATCGTCAAGAGTTACAAACTCTCCTCGAGACCACACTAAAAACCAACCTCTCCGACAAGATGCTTCAAAAATACGTCGATGTTCAATTCAACAAGAATGACACCAACAAGAACAATGTGATTGATTACGATGAATTTGTGAAATTGTACACAACTCTTTATTTCTCACCAGAATTGCCCATTTCCATGCGTCTCGAAAACAAGTCATCTTCCTTCCGAAAGGAACCTACCACTTCAACACCTTCCAATACTGTTGCTCCACCACTTCCTCAGAAAAAGCCATTGACTGAACAGGAAAAGAGAAAAGCTAAACAATGTTTTGACAAGTTCGATTTGGACAAATCAGGAACTATTGATCGAAATGAAATGTCCAAATTATTGGAATCTGTTTACAATGAGAATGGTAAAATGTCAAAGGTTTTGTTTAATCGATTGGTGGATATGCATATGAATAAGGCAGGAAATAATAACGTGTTCTCCTTTAACGAATTTTTGGGAATTTACAGAAATATCTTTGGAGAAGATCAAGACGCAGCTCAGCAATCATCATCTTCTGGTTTTGTTCTTCCAGGAATGTAAAGTGAATTTCTTGATAAAAGAATGTATTAAAATTCATTTCACAAGAAATATATTATTCATAATAATTATATCCATCACAATATATTTAATGTAATTTGTCATTTACAAAAATTCCACGGGTGGCCAACTCAAGCGTATTTTTTCGTGAACACATCAAGCTGCAAGAGAAAATTTCGCTGGGGATTTTTAATAAAGCTACGATCATAGTATGATTGTATGATGATTTCAACCCCTCAAAACTTGCCAATGCAATATATTGTTGCTGACACGTGAAGGAAACACTACTTAATTATTGGTGCGTCAATAAGTTGAATTGGCATTACAAGAGCCGTGGTGGTAACGTCCTAAAACTTTGTCACGTACAGGGTGGTATAGTATTGAAGGGGCCCTTTCCCCTCTTCGTCACATTATCAACACCATCTCTCTCAAACCACAACTCTTACATTGAGAAACGTGTTATGAAATTGTTGCTAAAATGTTTTCAAACTTCTCTTCGAAAAGGGTTTTAAAAAAATTTTCAATTTGTGGAGTTCAATATGATTGAGAAGAGTTTGAAATTAACACCAAGCCCGTCAAAAGTGCACAACAAATAGAACATCCTTGAGTGTAAAGTGGTCTGTTGTTCTAGAATTTCATGCTGCTTGTTTGCACTTTACACGGGCTTTATGTTTAATTCAGCCAAAGTCAGTGACACCTTTTTTTAAGGGCTGTTATTAATTGAATATTAGGTCTCACAATACCAAACAAAAGAATCTGAAACTATACGGAAAGAAGCATCTACCATATGAAAATCTTGGTTTCAGCATGCTTAATTGTAGAACAGTTCAACTCTGAAACAAAATTTGAATACTGGTCGGTGAAGAAGTTGGCCACCCGTGAAAAATTCAGAAAATAAAAAAAATGAATGAAAAAAGCTCTTCTCCGAATAAGCCTCATGATTCGAATACATTTTCATCCGTATCAATCATCAATGATAAAGTGATGAACAAAGCCTGCAACAACAACAACCAACCAAATGAAGGCTTAAACTCTCAACACAAGTTATTACAATTTATTGCCTATCGGGAAGGCCTTTCTTTGTTATATAATAGGATATATTTTCCACTGTCCATGATGAGGAAATTGAGAGAGAATAATAATAATAATAATCCTGAACATCATTCAAAATCGGAGACGACAAATGATTCTCGGAAGAAGGATGATCATGGTTCAAAAAAAGTGATGAGCAAACCAACGAATATTAGCAAAATGAATACGAAGAGTGTGAAAGATAGTGGCAAAAAAACAGCAGTTTCACTTGTAGCGAAAGATTCCTCTTATGAAACGGTCAATTATGTGGTGGATGGACCTTGCATTGTTACACTTGACAATACTATTCAATTATTATCGAGTACTTGGGTTGTGGACGATGTCTCACTCAACGACAGCATAGAAGATGTCAATGACCAAATGAATACTGTTTCAAGAAAGCCCAAAGAAAATCAAGATGTCATTAATTCACAATCGAATGTCTTTATTTGTGACAGTGAGGAATCAAATACCGTGACGCTACAATTTTTGAAAGAAAAATTTACAAAATCTATTCATCAATGTTCTAGGTTTTCAGTGCAAAACATTGAATTTTGCTCTTTCGATATTGAGAATGCTACAGAAATAACATTACAATCGTTGACACCTGAAAAGAATATCCAACAATCACCTTGCGAAATATCAGGCATGAAATTATTACGCTTTCACTCTCTCTATTTAAAATTGAATTGTATCATTTACTATTCTGAAAAAGAAATCTACCGAGTAACCTCTCTCATTTCAAAATCCGTAAAAACCAGAACAACAAAATCCAGCAACAATGGAATTTTCAGAGTGGTTTCTGCCACTAAAATTAACCTCTGCAATGGCACTGATTCTATTTCACAACAAGATCAACCAAAACCACCTGAAACTATTGAAAACATTGATGACACCATTGATTCAACAACAAGTGCCACAGAAAGTTGTTCGTTTTATTTCGAATCAAAATCATGCAAGGAATTGCTTTCACTTTTGAAAGTTGCTCACTCATTCTTTCATCACATCACCTTGCACGCTTCCCCTCAATCTAGTTCTTCAAAAAACTCATTGACATTTACTACTCCCTATTCCATTCTCATTCACGGACCTCACAACATTGGAAAAACATCAACTGTGAAAAATATTGCCAAAAAGTTGAAATATCCATTAATTTATGTGAATTGTAACAGTTTGGGAGGAGGAATGTTTGGAAACGAACAAGCTATTTCCTCCGTAGCGAATCGCATTATAGAAACAGCACAACGACGTTTAGCAACCCAACCCACAACTAAAGATTTAACCTTGATTCTGTTTTTGGACGATTTGGACAAGATTCAACAGAGTTTATTTTCATCTCTAATTTCAATTCAAACTCAAATGGAAAAGTCAGAAATGAAAACACTCCCAAACAAGAAAATTCACAAAAGTTCCACCATCCTTCATTTCATCATTATTGGATCTGCATCCTCCGATTGTGAATTCATGAAGAAAATGGAAATGAGAGGAAAATTTCAACGAGAGGTGAAATTTGAACTTCCCTCTCCACAAGAACGAACCGAATTTTGCAAGACCATGTACAGCAAAATGTTTGCCCATTTGGATTTTGAAAAAATTGGAATTGCCACCACAGGTTACCAATTTTATGACCTTATCAAAATCTTTAATTCACTCCATGCCGACAGAGGTCTCCACAAGAATATCGAAATTTCTACAGAATATGTTTTGAATCGAATGACTGAACTTCATTTGACGCCTTCCATTAAAAAAATAGTGGAACAAGGTCAAGAATGTGAAAAAGAGTCTAAGATATCTATCCTTTCAGAGGAACAAGCAAGCATTTCACAACAACAACAAGACAAACAACATCATGACAACACTTTGATCGATTTTGATGAAAAACATTGGGATAAAATTGGAGGTCTTTCATATTTGAAACAAAAATTGAGACAAGCTGCAGAATGGCCCATGAAATATCCAGAAAGTTTTAAGAGATTGGGACTTCAACCACCTCTTGGAATTTTACTTTATGGGCCTCCTGGAACTGGAAAGATAAGAATAATTATTTCACATTCATACACACTCACATTGAATGTCACATACACACTCCTCACTCACCTTTCGAACTTTTCATTTGTATTCACTTGAAAAATATTGTTGAAAATGCTACACTAATGATGAACATCATTACATGAATGCTGCACCAATGATGAACATTTTGCATGTCGTTTGTGTGGATTTAGACCACTTTGATTCGAACACTTGCCCTTTCAACACATTCCACATTTTTATATTGCAATGTGGCACAAGTTTATTCACCCTATGTGGGTGAAGCTGAGAAAGCCATTCGAGATATCATGTCAAAAGCCAGAATTATGAATCCATCGATTGTATTTTTTGATGAAATTGATGCCATTGTTGGAAAGAGAGAATTCACGATGGGAGGAGCAGATTCTGTGAGTAGCAGAGTCTTGTCGACGCTTTTAAATGAAATGGATGGAATTGAGGGAACTAAAAATTTACTTGTGGTCGCTGCTACGAATCGACCCGATATGATTGATAGTGCATTGATGAGACCTGGAAGATTGGAGCATTTGTTGTATGTTCCTCCTCCGGATGAGGAAGCCAAAAAATCAATTTTCGAAATTCACACCAAGCATTTGGAAGATGTATTCTTGAGTGCTGAAAATTGTGAAATTTCTCGAGAAGAGATGGTGCGATTGTTGGTGGAGAATGAGGAAATTTCTGGAGACATGACAGGTGCAGAGATTGAGGCTCTATGCAGAGAAGCATGTTTGTCAGCCTTAAGGGAAAAGGAAATGAAGGCATCTATGAAAGGTTTATCAGAGGCAACAACCTCCTCACCCATCATTCTTTCGTGGAAGAATTTTTGTGAAGCAAGAAGAAGAGTTCAACCATTTCTGTCGACCTTGGAAGGAAAACGAATGCTTGAGAATTACGCCAAGTTTGAAAAAAGTTTTGAGAAGAATGTCAAGTAAAAGAAAGAGGTTGATTTTTATGGTTGTATTGGACCTTGAAAGGTTTTTTCATGGTGACATTGCAAGTATTAATTGTTGTTGATCATCTTACTTTTTGTCTGTGGAAGTTTTTTGTGATTCCTTTTCCTTGTCGTTAGAGGATTCTTCCTTCTTCTCTTCTTTCTTCTCTTCCTTCTTTTTATCGAGCTGTTTTGCTTCAAATTCTCTCATTTCAATCTTGTTATTGATCAAATCATGCAATGAAATGATACAGCGAATTACAGAGCTCAAATACATGGCCAAATAAGTATCATTTGTCTTTTTTCCAATGGATTGTTTGGCATCGTTCGTGTGCAAACCAGGAAGTAAATTGAAGACGTCTTGTAATAAATATAAAATGTTGTGATTGACTGGCATTTTGCCTGAAACAACCTGATCAAGATAAGTATTGATCTCGCTCAATCTGTTTCTCAGTGCCTTTAAGCTTGTCATACGAGTTGACACTGCTGAAGCCAAATCAGAAATAGTTGTGTCTTTAACATCACGAAGTAAATGTTCGACACCAATTTCTTCGGCCTCATAAGCTCCAATTTCAGATGGTAAATGAGTAAATGTGAGCTTTGGTTGAGATTGTTGATCTTCACGTTCTTCCACTGCAACATAGGCATCAGTAGGTATTACATTTTCTTGTTCTGGATTTACATCAATAATACAATAGGTTGGATGAGGAAGGTATTTCTCCTTGATAATTTGATGAATCTCGATATCGGATTTTCTGATTTTTGGTCCAGTACTGTACCATCCGACCACCTTTTCCTTGGCTTAATGGAATTACAATAAAAATGGTCATGTGTTGTATTGCAAAGTTGATGTTGTTGGTGTTGCATATATTTGAATCCATTTGGTGTTGAAAAGTTGTGATGATGTTTGAACAAAGTGAATGATAAAGTTGTTGTTGCACGTATCATGATGATGAGCATGATGTTGTGGTGCATTGAAGGGAATAAATCAGTTGAAAATCCAATTAACATGTCAATATGAAAATTGATCATTTTCAAAATACATTTTAACATTTCATACGGTCTCACTTCCCATCATCAAGAACAATACACCTACCTGTTACCTTTCTAAACATTCCCAACATATTCTCAAGGAAACTATGATCAAAGAACCAAATACTTGGATCTTTAGGATCTTCCTCAAAAGGCACAGCAAAACTATTTGTACAATCCACCACACCATCCTTTGAAATCTCTCCCAACAAAACTCCAGCGACTCTATTATTAGTATCTTTCGCAACCCGATTATAGTGATCCACAACACTCAACAACACCAATGGATGCACCACCACCTTGGTTGGAAAGGCCGGAAAATCCGTGTAATCAATACTGGAGCGCTGTGCTGCAAGCCTTGCTGCATGAGGATCTAAATCTTTGGCGTCGTTGTGATGATGATGATGGCTCATTTTTTTTTGAAAGAAATTTATTGGAATTTTTGAATTATTTTTAGATGGTGGTCAATGATTTTGTTTTTTTTCAGATGAACGCACCTTAAAACAAATCATAATCATGTTGATATAAATATTATTGAGAAATCTCATTGGTATCATTGAATGGTCCTTAACGAACGGGTTGATGATTCATTTATTATTTAGACGTAAACCTTAAAGAATGATTTGGCCAATCCTCATCAATTGATGATTTGCATGTCTACCTTTTTTGAGAGTTGTCATGTTGATGGTGGTTGTTGTTTGAAAAGTTCAAAAATACTTGTTCCAGTGTGGACTGTGAAATTGAATAATCGAAATGAAGTGTGAGAGCGAATTGACCAATTTTTTCAAATACTTCATAGACAGGAACAGAGTTGTCAATTTCAAAAAATAATGTTCGACCCACTCGATTCAATAATTTCACGAGATGTTGTTGTTGCTGTTGTTGTTGTTGTGACTCATCCGTGTTGTTATTGTCATTACTTCTACTGCCATTATTGGTGTTCACAGACACACGCGTAATGGAATTACTTGATTCTTCCTTAAAACTTTCGAGAATGGTTTTTTCAATATTTGTCAAATCTTGTTCTTGATCACTCTCACTGGTAATGACGACTCGATAGAATTTTCCAAATCGTTCTTTGAGAAAAGTTTTAGTTCCAATTGCAGCTAAGGATCCTTCGACCATGATACCAATTCGATCACTGAGTTCCTCCATTTCGTCCATTGAGTGTGACGTTAAAATTATGGAATGATTTGCTCGAATTTCATGAATGAGAGACCATAGATGTCTTCGTGTGAAGACATCCATGGAGGAAGTTGGCTCATCTAACAGAATGACAGGAGGTTCCCCTATTAATGCAAGAGCTACAGATAATTTTCGTTTCATTCCTCCACTCAGCTCTTTCACTGCCTTACCGTAATCGTCAGGTGCGAATTTAAATCTCTCCAATGTTTGGCGTACATTTTGATTCGAGTAATTGCCTCGAATGAAATGATAAATTTGAACATGTTCTGCTACTGTTAGATTTTCGTAGAGTCTATTGTTTTGAGGACACACGCCAAGATTGGTTGGAGATCCAAACTGTTCAAAAACATTGGATCCGTTAATGGTAATCTGACCATTACCAATACCAGTGATAGAACAAATGGTTTTAAGAAGAGTTGTTTTTGAAGCTCCGTTTTTTCCCAAGAGCCCAAGAACTTCGCCACGTTTCACACCAAAATTCACACCTCGAAGAACATGATAATCTCCATACCATTTGTGAACGTTGTGAAATTGCAAAACGTAATTGGATGGATCTTCGTATGCTTCCTCTTCAACGTCGATGGATTGGTGTGAAGAACCAATCAGTAGACCTGCAGGGTTCTCCAAAGTATCTTGGTTTTGCATTTCAAATTCATTCTCGTTTAGGGTCAAAGTAGTTTTTTGTGGCGTTGATTCTATTTTGAAAAGTTTTCGTGCGAAATTGAAGGGCAGCATTCGAGAGAGCCAAGAGTTTGGTTTTTTTCTCAAGTAATCCAAGTACTCCAAGAAAAGCATTAAAAACACATGACTAAATATTTGGATCCACATGAAAAGTAAAACGCCCATCAATTCTCCAGAATTTCCTCTAAATTGCAACATTTCTAAGAGTGAAACAGGTTCTCCACGATCTACAGCAAGACCCAATATTGAAAGAGCATAAAAGAAATTCCAAGAAGGTAGCACGAGGCAGAGTGCAAATTTCAGTAAAGTGTTCATCTCAAACTTAAAGAGATACCTGAATACAAGAAAGATGAAGAGGATGCAGGCCGAGATGATAAATGATGTCCACTCTATACGCATTAATGCGTCACATGGGAATGAATTTAAAGTGTCAACCAATGATTCACATAGCAAGACTTACTTTGAGCATCTTCCACCTTACTAAATATAAAACTAAATATGTAACTAAATGTAATAAAATAAAAGGTATAGCTCGTATATACTGCTAGTACAGCAAAAATCGAGTTGTCAACAAAAGCAGGAGCAGCAGCAATGAATGTCATGCTCAGGGTTTGTGCAGCTGCAATAATGGAAAATAAACTAAAATCAAAAATAAAGTGAGACATCCAATACAACTTTTTTGAGACAGAACTCAATAGCAACTGAATTTTTGTTTCTTTTTCTTCCTCACTCACCACTCCGGTGACAAAATGAGGCATTAGGAGTATTAGTGGCATTATTAAATAAAAAATTGAATTTTCAAGAAATAGATAGGTTATTTGGTTTCCAAAAGTGATGTGCTGAATTCCAATATTTGGAAATAAGCTTTGTACTCTAGGGTTGTTGTTGGTATTTACATTTCCATAATAAAGAATATCAATAATTGTTTGCTCTATCAACTGAGTAAGTTGAGGAAGTGTCTCCTTATAATCATTGTTGTACAACACCGTCACATTAAATAGGGCATTATCAAAATCTAATTTTTCAAATTCATATCCTCCTACAAAAGAGGTGTCATTGGCTATTTTCGCATTCATCTCCTCTCGTGATGTAAACACTTCGATATCCACATAAAAACTCATTGAATACGATAATCTCATTTGAATATTTTGTGACACTTCGGCACCATAAGTAGAGGAAATATTCATTCCACGAAACAGTAAAGCAATTTTGTAATCATTGTTACTTTCAGAATTTCTCTGTGTGGAAAAAGGTTTCACATTATTCGAATTTCTCGTTGGAGCGTTCATATGGCTGAGAGAAATAATAGGCGTGTTATCCAAAAACCATTGATAATACTCGTTTGTCCCAACTTGATAAGGATTGATTGAATTATTAAATAAAGAGGCATACGAAATATGGGTCATGGTCACTAATCCAATAAAAAGCAATGGGAAACCAATCACCATGACGAAATTCCTCAAATCTCTTCGCAACAGCATGATCTTTTTATACAACAAGCCTATCAAGGGTTGAATTATTTTGGATTTTAAAGTTGCAACATTCCAATGTTGTTCTGTGTGTTGCTGAGAATGATGATTATTTTCATTCCTCATTGGTGGTAAAGTCGCAAAATGTTCTTCCTGTGGTAATACATTCAATGACACAGTATTTTCATCACTATGATGATGCAATTCTTCCATCATCATCATCATGATGGGTTGATGTGTTTGTTGTTGGGAATGGTAATACTCATCATCATCATCATGATCGTCATGATGGGAAACTAATCTTCTCCGATCGTCGTCCTCCTGTTGATCATGCTCGCCATCATCACCCAGCAAAGATGATGAAGACGACGACGACGGATCGAATGCAGTCGAAGGCTGATTTCGCCTTTTTGGTTTTGTCATTTTTATTTGTTGTTGCTGAATGGATGTGACGTTCAACGTTTTTCATCCGTCAAGTCCAATGTTCTGCACAATTGTAATAGTAGTAAAACCATGAAGCTGACAAACTAAATCATTTTACAATCTAAAAATTGCATGATAATTTACCTCGAGATCTGTTCTTCTAAAAACAGGTTTTTTCGCCTATTTGAAGTTCAATAACTGACTTCAATTAAATGATTCCAATAAGAGAGAACACACAACAGAAACAAAATGTAACAAGTTTCAAACCAGGAATTCAGGGAGAAATCAGACACCGAAACCAAAGATTTAAAAAACACTCCAACTTCCAAAGAGCAAGAAAGTTGCCACAAAACCCCAAATGACATTCTCTGCGAAGCTTGCAACACAACTGCGTCGGAGAACAGACAACAAGATATTATTGGACATGCTTTCTCAAGCGACAATATCCTGTACAGAAAAAATAATGATAATCACACAAGAATGGAAAATGCAATGGCTTCAGATTCGTGTCCTCAAGCTGTTGTTAATCAGAAGGGAGGATCGATTGAGAATTCATTGGAAAAGTTGCATGATTCTCAAAGCAGTTGTGCCTCTGCTGATGTTTTGAAAGTGCTCAAAAACAGTGGAGACCGGTTATCAGAAAGAAGTTGCAAGTTTGGACAAAAGAACCTTCAATTTACCATCAGAAAAACAACAAATTAATGCTGCAAGAAGAGAACAAGAGAACCAATGATTAATCATTCCACTTGGATCCCATACAACGTCTTTCTCTTTAAAAGTGCCGCCAAAAAAATCCGTTATAAATTTCACAACAACAAATTCAAAAAAAATGAAACGAAAAGGTATTCATTCTTCAAGCAACGGAAATGGCAGAAAGACCTTGTCTTCTGTTGCTGCTGCTTCCTCTTCCTCATCAGCAATGAACTCCTCCACTCTCTCCTCTCCCCCCATCAAACAAGACAAGAAACGTGTCCGAAGAGTTTCCTTCTCCACCAAACAACCCGACATTCAAATGTTTGAACCTGCCAAATCGCCCACACAGCTCAAAGCAAGATCAAAGACTGCTTCAACAACGAGCTCGAACATGATGGCAAATGGAAAGCAACAAGTGCTCTCTCAACAACAAGATGATCATTCCGAAGATAAGGAAAATGCAATCAACTTTACTCTCTTTGCAAATCAAACAGCAACTCAACCGCCATCCTCAACTTCATCTTTAGGTAAATCCATCTTTGATGATGACGATGACGAGGATGATCAAGTCGATGCCCTTCATCCCAAACAAAGTATTAGTACCATGGAATTCACTCATGAATTTGCCAATGAACCAGTCACTAACGAGGACGAACAAACCATGGAATTTACTCAACTCATTCCAACCAACATTAGTGTTCTCGAGAATGAATTAACGAATATGAGCCTTTCATCGGCTAGCCACTCCACAATGTTGAATTCAGGGAAGAACAACCCAACCAACTCAAACAGCTCTTCTTCTATACAATCTAAAAAATCTTACAAACCGAATCTCGTGATTCCTGTTCATGGAGACTCTTCTCGATTGGAAGATCATGGTGGAGATGCATTCAATGATTTCAATTTTGATCCAACACCAGCACCAGCCATTCCTGACTCGTCTTTTCTCTTTGGAAGTGTGGAAGTGGATGAAGATGGAAATGAAGTCATGATGATGGACCAATCCATTTTGAATCAATCACAATTAAGCAATGGTGGTGCCAATTCTAATGAGCGAGATCACGAAGAACAGCCACAAGAACACCATGAAGAACAACACTTTCAAACTACTACTGCATTGAATGGAGGTGGTTCTTCTCTTCAAACAACAAGTTCTAACAATGTTCTCCAAGAATTGCAACCTCAACAGCAACAACGATCGGCACTGAATCAACATGAACCATCCTCTTTGGACCTTATTCCTCAACAAGCAATGACGTTTGACAATTTCAACAACAATAATTCCTCATCACTTATGAAAGTCACTGATTTTGCCTCCATCTTCTCAAATCTCAATTCAAAGTCTTTACTCAATACCAGCGCTCATGATATGAGCATGACCACATTGTTTGATCATGTGGATGAAGTGCCACCACTCGATGAAGATACCACTCGAACAATCACTGCTCAGAATATTACTGGAGAGCTGGCGGGTCAAGATCCAACCAAGAATGCAAATCCATCAACCATGACAGGAGTTTCTACTTCTGTCAATGATCCAGCAATTTCCAATGCTCTTGCTTCAAATTTAAATAGCACGAGCATGAATAATAGTGTTCTTTTGAGTAGTGTGGCTTCCACTCTTGGTAAAATGACCAAATATTCCATTGCCGACTTTTGGTCACACATGTCCATTCGATTTCTCACAACCATTACGGATCGAAAGTCAATGGTTCCACCACAGAATGCTAGAAATGCGTCAAGATTTCAGGACGTAGAATCGATTCAAAATGAAGAACTCTCCAGCGAATACAGAAAGATTGTCGTTCGTAATGAGTCATTGGATAGAATGATTGAAAATACAAAGAAAAAGATTGAACGGATCGAAAAAGATATTTCAGAAAAGGAGACTTATCTGTCCTATCATGAACCTGTAGTTGTACATTCAGCCATGTCTAAAACGAAGAATTTAGACATTCCAAACAATGTTCGAATTTCCCTTCAGAGTGCAAAGAACGGTGCTAATGTTGAAAAGTTCAAACTCAAATCAGAAACCGAAAACTTGAAACGTCAATTGCTCATCGATGAAATCTATGGTTTGGACGAACAGTTGCAAGTACTTGACAAGTATGCAAGGCATTACGAGTATTTAATTTCTAATTTACAGAGTGAAATTCAAAATAAGAAGGATGCAAAGAAGAAGGCAGCCCAACCTCAGTCACAGCCACATCTGCAATCGCAACCACAACAATCACAGTCGCAACAAACACAACAAACGTCCTCAAGGCAATCTTCCCAATCCTCCAACATGGCTCTCGTGCCAAACAATAGCTCCCAACCTCAGCAAGTGGTCACAGCTATCAACCTTCCATCCACCTCAATTGCTCCAACCACCACCACCTCCACTACCACTCGTAGAAGACAAAAATCGGAGCGCCTCTCCCTCTCTGCACAAGATTTACTCATTTCCAATCCAAATTTATTGAGCTTGGTGAAAAACAAGTTCGTACCATACAGTGTGAATCGAAAACATCACAATTTGGTTTTTGAATTTCCAAAGTTTTGTGATGCTGCAGATTATCAAAAACCATTAACTGTAGATATCAAATTTAATCCTTTGGACAAGTCCATTGTGAATGTAAAGATTGTGCCGTGCTCCAGTTCAATATCCTCTCAAAACAACAACATGGATGAAATTGAACATGCTTTGTTCAAACTCATTGAGATGCATATTGTTACCATTATCAAGAGATTCAGCTACACACGATATTTACCAATCATTGTTTCAATCATGTCTTCTCAATTCCAATTTCTGTATTTATTCATGAAAGAGATCCGCATTTTAAGAAGTCGAGGCATTGATGTTGGTTTCGACCACATTTATCCACTTCTACTGTTTACCTCTTGTCAGATACATGAGAACGAGTCAGGACATCATTCTCTTGAATTGAAAGCTAAACATGAACAGCACCAACTACTAATGAACATTACATGCAGGGATGGCTCTTTCGAATTGGCATGGACAGATCCAAGAAATGAAGACCAGTTGTTGGATCGATTTGTTTATGACTGTAATTTATTGAAACGAGTGAGGAGTTTGATACGAAAATGTGAACAACAATAACTATAGGAGCAACAGTATGAAAATAAAACTTCATCACATCTTCTATTCTCCTCAGCCTGTCAACTCTCTTCGGACCAACAAAAAATGTCCCTTCTTGCTCTTTGCATGGAGTAAGAGACGAGATGATGAAAACACATTCACACAAGGATCCTTTTCTCTCGCACACAAACATGGGATAAGCCTCTCCGGCCCACGAAACCAAATTCTGCAATTCCGACACTAAAATAACGGAAATTTCATGAAAAAAAAATAATTTGAACAAGCCTCAACCCTGATTCATGATCGTCGTTGTTCATCCGCAAAATGATGATATCCACGAATATTGAGAGCCCTCAATATCAGAGTAATAGTGGTGATACTCCTAACAGTAAAGGAAATGTGAATGGGGTGGGCATGATGCAATCATTGTCGTTAAGCAGTAATAGTAATTGGGAGCAAAAGAAAGGAATCCCAACGTATGAGGAAATTCTTGCAAGATGGGGCCTTGAGCATGGGCATCATTCTCACAGAGCTACTCCATCAAGTGTTTTGTCCAAACTATGTGGCTGTTGTTTCGGAGGGACAAGTAGTGAAAACCGATATCAGAAAGATTTTACTCCAACTCCAGTATTGCCAAGCATGCAAGATTTAGTGACCCTTATTACAGCACCAGGTATTGCTGCTGATTCTAAGGAAATTACCATACTGAATAAGCCTTACACGATCAACATGGAAATTAATGAAAAGGATATCATTGAAAAATACATCAAGATGCTCCCGAATCAAAGTGTTTCATCCTTGAATCTTTCCTCTTCATCATTCAACACCCCACAAAAGCGATCGGGTAGCAAAAAGAATTTACAAGATAGCCTCACAAAGAATAGTAGTAGTAACAGATTTGAATCTGATGCAATCAAACAAGGTAAATTGGAGGATGACATTGTCATTCGATCAAATGCATCACCTCTTTCTCCAAGAAATGTAAAAAGCAATCCTGAGTTCACTCCTACAACCACAATGCCGACAATCCCAGGTACGCTCGGAAATGATCCACCTCAGCCAACAACGCCACGAGGATCCTCGAGGTCTTCAGTCATGTTCAACAATGAAGATTTGTTTTTTGGAGGAGGGGAAGAAGAGACTGATGACGATTTTCAGAGCTACGAGTTTGGTAACAATGACGACTCATCAATAAGTAAGACTAGATTTTATGGTGTAAATATGCAAGCAGGGGAATCATTTTCTTCACTTCCATCAATGAGAGCACCAGCACAATTTGAAGGAATGAATGTGGAGAATTTATTAGCATCTCTGGATACAGAAGATAGTGAAGTGTTTGGCACTAATATCAAAGACATTCAATCGGACAAGGAAAGTGAAAAAGAAAAGAAACGAAAGGCTCTTGTCAGTATTCAGTTATTCAGAAAGGTAGACGAGATTAACAAGTACCTCGAAAAAAGTACAAAATGCACAAAATACGTCTACAAAAAGCCACAAAAAGAAATTGAAAACCTACTCAAAATCAATGCAATTTTTATCGATTGGAAGCTTGTATTGCCTCCTGCCATGAACTACATCTATCTCATTACCCCATTTCCAGAGATGAATCAATATTCTGTATTTAATTTGAGCAAGTTTGGAAAATTATTGGAAATAATTGGTGCAAGTAAGAAATTTGCTGAAGAGAGAATTGATTTAATTTTATACCTATTTATCGAGCTGCTGACCAAGTTAATTGCTCAAAATATCAACATTTACATAGACGTTTATAATTTGATGATTTGGAAAAATTTGGTAAGTTTTTGGAGTATGTATTAATACAAGTGGCCACAATTATTTGATTTCCAGAAATCCAAAAATGATGCTTTCTTTATTAGCATCAATCCAGCTCTGGAGTTCACAGAAAGACCAATAACTATTCGAACAGTGCGAACCATGATGAATCGTTTAATTGTGTCCCTGTTTGACACAAAAATTAAGAGCATCGTAAAATATGATGCAACTTCTTCTCGACAAAGACAACCACACGAAATGGTTTTTGTGTTGCCAAATCCTGTGGACTCTCAGTCAGACTTTTTCATTACAATGAACTTGAAAGACTTTCCAAGCAAATACATGTCTGTTCTTCTTGTCCTTAGCGAAGATTATGATATAAGAGCATATAATGTGCTAACATATACAAAGAAGCTTCTCAATATACTAAAATCCATGAAGGAGTGCAGATGGTTCAATAACGTTCTCGAAAATAAGTTTGAAAAAGCTCCTCTCATAGATGATCCATTTAATGATTACGAAAATATTGCCCACAAGTCAAAACCACAGCTCATTCTTCTAATGAAAACTCACAACATTTTTCCAGATCAATATTCATCAAGATACATTACAACGCCAATGGGGGTGAGATATAATAACATTAATGGCAAATCAAAGTTCTTAGCTAAGTATTACGCTTCCATTGACAGTAGATCGGTGATTTTGGAAAATATTGAGTACAGCCTAAATAATTTTTTAGAAATTGTTGACAAGAGGTTCATTGGCAGAGACAGAGTTCAAGTTTATCACATAATGTTAGTTCTACTCCAAGTCATTAAGGGAGTTTGTTTTCTTCATTCGAGATGTATTGCTCATTTGAACATTAATCCTTTCACTGTACTCATTCAAAGCGATGACTCGGAATTGACATCCTCCGAGCTTGTACGAAAACACTTCTCGGTCAAGTATTGTGTAAAGCTATGTGGATTAGATTGGTCAATTGAATGTACAGACGAAAGCGGTCAATTACACTGCCCTGTGGATCTGCAATCATCATTCGGTGTGTTAGACAAGTACCAAAATTCCTGCAGTTCATTTAGATATGTAATGCTGTACAATATTTTTACAGATGAAGGTCTGAGTAGGGTTGCGGGAACATCGGACAAAGAAACGTTAATCAAAATGCAAGAAATTATACCATTCATGGCTCCCTATATGTTTTTTCACAAAAAAGTTCATTTAGGATGTGACTATTACTCGGTAGCCATGCTCATATATTTTTGCTTATTCAGAAAAGACACATCGAATTGGCTTTCTAATTTTTCTTCGTATCGAAAGGCCAATGGATTTTTTAATTGGGAAGCATTCTTTATGGATATGGAACATAAAAGATTTGACCATTGCCTTCCATGCAGACCAGATATCCAACCAGAACTTAAACCCATTAAGGAAATGATGATGAAACTGTTTTCTCACTACAAGGAGTACAGACATCATGATTCGAGCACTCTGAAGGTTCTGTTCACTTCATCCCTTGCTGACACATTAGGCAGCACTGCTAGAAATATTTTAGTGCAATCTGTTGAAAATGGTGAATTCAACCCTGAAAAACTGAGCTCTCCATCGATGCGAAAAAACACAGCAAGTTCTCAAAATGTGGAAGCAAATACCACCATCATTTCAGAGACCAGAATTTAATTTCAAATCTGTGTAGTGAAAGTTATTTCCTATTTGTATATCTCGCAATTGTATTCAAAACATGTTAACTAATGCCCACTTTTAGATCATTAATTCTGAAATTTAGTAATTTACTAATTAGAAGAGATATTGAGTGACATGTCTGACTTATTATGGCTGAGGCGATTTTACTCGTTGTTCTCCTTTATTGGTTTCTGCATCCGATTCTCTGTTTTCAAACTCGTCATCCTCGAGCGATACACATGTCTTACACAGCACAAGTGCACCTACTGTGCACAAACAAGGCATTGTGACAGGGCAAAGCAAAGTATAGAGAATTACTGAAACAACAGGATGCAGCTTGTCTCCGAGATCGTGGATCCACAAGCACGACAGAGGAGATGCCATGCATGTATCCAAACAATCTGTCTCTTCTTGTTTTTCTGTTTCTGACTCCTTGGGTTGTGTTACTTGTGTCGAGAATGATGATTGTTGTGTTGGTGATGATTCAGTGATGGTCATGATGGTCTCGGTGGCAGTAGGTTACAGATTGTTTATTTGTCGGTGTGTGTGGACGATGTGAGTTGACAATTCTTCCAATGAAGAGGCAGAGTTGCGAGAAGGCAGTTGGCAGGTTAGAGCGGTAGTGGTATTGTTGTGGCAAAGTTTTTGAGATTGTTTAGAAACTTCAGAGTGGAAACCCGTAACCCTTCCAAGAGATTAACAGCCCACCTATTACTATCCTGCGAATAATCGCTGCCCTGTGAAATATGACTTTCCCAAACATGTACACATCATGCCCAATTTATTTTCTTGGCATGGAAATTGTACATGTGGAGAGAAAAAATCCTCACACCAAAAGAGTGAGAGAAATTTCATGTGAAGGTCAAACGTTTCCAGTGAGATGCTTTAAACTACAAAATAACAAACCTATTCAAGTGTCATTCACATGAAAATCATAGAAGTGACCGTTCGTCATGTATTACATTGGTTTCTTTTATGACTAGAATACAACAACGTGGGCCTCATTGATAAGAACCTAATGACATATCTTGGTCTGACCTAATGAATCATTGCTCAAACTTTCCATCTCGTGCTTTCTCTTCGTGTTCAATCGAATCGAACCATAATTCAATTTACCAAAACAAAAAATGCTTCGAGGAATTAAAGTGAGAAGACGACCAGAAGCTTCATCATCAGCGTCGGAGGAGAAACAAACAGAAGATGCAAAAAAGAGAAAGTTTGAAGAGGGTGAATCTACGGAACAACATGAACCAATCAATGAAAGCAATACTACTCCAACGGAATTAAAAAGAGAAGAGTGGATGTTAGCCCCTCCAAAAGAGTCCTCAAGACCATTATTTGGTGGATCTTCATCATCGGGAGAAGATAAGCCTTCGGATCCTAGAAAGAATATTCAAAATTTAGAATTAAATCCAAATTTAAATCCTAATGCAGCAAGCTCAAATCGAGACTCCGATAACTTGTCATCTCTATCCTGGAGAGCAAGAGCTTTGAAACGAGCTGAGGAAAGAGCAAGAGAATCTGGAGTTTCTGTGGATGCTGTCCTTAAGGAACACTGGGGTGATGAATCTAAAATAATTTCATCAAGTTATGACCGAGAAACTCTAGAGAGGTTGGAAAGAAATGCTCAACGAAACAAACATTTTGGGATCGATAAGAATATGAAAAAACCAGAAATTGATCAGCCTGCAAATACTCGAATTTATGACAAGTACAAGTCAAGCGAATCTTCTAAAAGAGAGAATTTGAATGTATCAAGATTTGGAACTCCGCAAGAAGAAACATTTATGAGATATGCAACCATGTCACAGGACGAGTTAAACAATCTAGCCCAAAAAGCTCTCGATGCAGATTCAAGAGGTGACAAAAAACTATATAAAGAATTAAGCGATCAACTCACAGAAATTAAGAAATGTAAAGAATTATACAAAAAGCATGGATCAGTAGCTCAGTTACCTTCATTTTATTCATCTGGAAAGAGGATTGATGGAGGAGCTCAAGGAAGAAAATACATTGGACATCAGGGCGATCAGTCCTTGAAAGAATTATACTTGGAAGCTAAAGAGCATTCCGTACAAGATTTTGATAGAGGTCTTGCAAACAATATTTTGAAAGATACACAATACAGATCTTCCTCGAGAAATGCCTCCGAATATGATGACCAATATTATGATCAATTTGTAAATAATACAGGAAATGAATCATTTGAAATTGGAGATGATAGAAGAGCCAAAAAGAAGAAACGTCAACAAACACTGGAAGAAAAACAACAAGCATTCTTAAAGAAGCACAAAATGTATGAATTCCAGAAGAAGAACCACGCAGAAACATGTCTATTCTGTTTTGAAAATAAGAAATTTAAGAATCATCTTGTAATTGCTACGGGTAATAAGGCCTATTTAACATTGTCACCTTTTGGATGCCTTACTGAAGGGCATTGCTGTATTGCGCCCATATTACATACAGTATCAATTCGAGAGACTGATGAAGATGTTTATGAGGAAATCATGAAATTCAAGGTAGCTCTTAAGAAAATGTTTGTCAATCAAGGAAAAGACTGCCTCTTTCTGGAAACGGTAACCCCATATTCTTTAAAACATGAGAAGCATGCTTTTATTGAGTGCATTCCTTTGTCACCAGCTCAGGTTGAGCTCGCTCCTTCATACTTTAAGAACGCCATTCTCGATTTGGGCAATACAGCATATAATCAGAGTGCAAGCGAATGGTCAGAAAATAAGCGTTTAATTGACACTAAAGGAAAAGGTATCCACAGATCAATACCTAAAGATTTTCCATATTTTCATGTAGAATTCCAAGTGAATGGAGGATTTGCACATCCCATTGACAGTGACGATTTTTCATTCACTTTTGGTAAGGAAGTCATATGTGGTATGCTCAAACGGACTCCAAACGAAGCAAAACTTCGACCTCCTCGATATGAGGAAGAGAGAAAACAAGCATTTACACTGATGCAAGCATACTCAGAGTATGATTGGACAAAGACTGAACTAGGTAGCTCGTCTTCATCGTCAGGAACTTCTCAACCTTCTATCAAATAAAAGTCTCTTAACTTTTTAAGCAAAATAAGAATTCTTAATAAATATTTATTCTTTCAGCTTTTGGCTCACTTCGTTTCCTTGTACAAATATCTTTGTAATATTTCTGTCGTCCCCATTGAAAATGAATCGAGCAAAATTCTCCTTAAGCTTTTTTTCTGTGAGAGTTTCTGGGTCGTGAGCAAGAGAGGATTCAGCTGGGAAAATTTTTGGATAAATGTCACTAAAGGTATCCACCATGGATTCGGCCACGTCAACATCCACAACAAGAGCATCAAATAGTTTGTCTTCTTCGAAATTACCCACCTTGTTTTCCAAGTTAAGTGCACATGCTCCTCCAATGGTTGCCAAGTAAAATGCTTCGTCAAGACTTAGAGATTTGTCATCTTCTGTAGGTTCTTGAGCATTGCGTAGGTGGTCAGTAGTAACAGCAGCACTTGCAATGAGGGTATTTCGAATTGCATTCAACATGGAAACAGAATAGCCACCAGAGTAATCTGTGCCCAGAGAAACTTTCACACCATTATTCAATAATTTTCTTACGTTCAACACACCACTATTCAGAGAAAAATTACTCAGAGGACAATGTGCAATAGTTGCCTTCTTTTCTTTCAATAACTTGATTTCTTCATCTGTTAAATAAACACCATGAGCTAAAATAGTTCTACGATTGAGAAGTTTCACTGCATCGTAAACACCAGCATAACTAGATTGATTTTTGAACAAATCCTTGACCAATTTCACTTCATTGACGTTTTCAGAAATGTGAGATTGAATTGGAAGATCGTATTCTTCTGCAATATCAGCCAAACCCTTCATTAATTCTTCTGAACATGACACTGCGAACTATTTGTTCCATTCCATTTATATTTTGTGGAATAATAAGGAGAAAAATAATTCATCGACATGCACGACCAAACCCCGAATAATAGTCAAGAAAAACAAGAAAATTGCTTGCATTTCGTCAATAAAATTCACAACGTACCCTTGGAGTAAGAATTGGTTTGGCTAATTTAAAATTTCTTGCAAGCATGTCTTCCACAAACTTTCGAGCATCGCTGATACCCTTTGATGTTTCCTCACAGTAATAGTCTGGTGCGAATCGATCCATATTCACCTTCCCAATATCTAAAAAACATTCAAAGTAAAAAATTTCCATTTCAACAAAAAAATTAATTTCCAAATTAGTGAATTAAAAATTTGATGTCATGAACAATAACCATTCAGTGAGTAATAGGCCAATCAAGTACATGCACAATTAAATGCACACTTACATGCTCGTTGTCCCAATTCTTCCGTAATTTCAGCCAATTTCAAACTCGCATCATTATGAATGGTTGCAAAATAAACACTCGTCGTGGTTCCATTCTGCAAGGATCGCTTCACACAAGACCGATAGACTCGTTGTGCAATTTCTACATCACTAAACCGAGACTCTACCGGAAAGGTGTAAGTATGTAACCACTCCAGGAGTGGCATATCCAATCCGAGACCGTTATTAAAGTACTGAGGTGCATGGGCATGAGTATCAATGAAACCCGGAATGAGGAATTGAGAAGGCTTGAGAGTGATGTGTTCATAATGTTCATAGGGCATTAATAAAGAAGAGAGAGATGGAGATGATGTTGATGATGAAATGGAGGATGAAAGGTTTGAATGATGAGATGTTGATGATGAAGAATGAAAGGTTGAAAAAACCTTCTCAATGGTTCCGTCCTTTGAAACAACAATGGCTCCTTTCGGGCAGTACTTGAGGTTGTGTTTGGAACACACATTTGTGTTGTTGTTGTTGTTGTTGTTGGTTGTTGCCAGTGCATGAATAAAGGCTCCAATAATCACCAAACCTTTGGTCCGAGCCGATGAAGAAGATGAACGGGTTGTCTCGGCAATTAAACTACTGCTAGCACCGATGCTCATATTGTTGGTGTTACTGCTGTCGAATCAATAATTGAATTCAAAAGTTTGAAAACGAATGAACGTTTTAAAGTGTCTGCTTGGTAAATAATAACAAGAACAAGGACGGATGGATGCAAAGAATGCTTTCTGTGGAAAATAAGTGGAAAGGAGTTGATGTTTTTTTTGGTATGTTTTTTGGTGTTGACAGCTTGAGAGCAGCTCCGAAGAAGGGCGAGGCATGCCTTTAGGAGTAACAAAGCGCTGCATGGTGTGGATCAGTTTTCACAAAATAGTCGTGTGTGTGTACGTTGAGATTAGATTTTATTCACATTATTGTTTTTACAGTGATTGAATGTGCATGATAGAGCTATCCAAATGTGAGTCTTGAGCAGGGATTCGCTGTTTGCGAATGTACATTGTGCATCAAGATTCGAACGATGAACCTGTTGTGTTGTTATTGTAGGCCGTTATGGATCCAATACTGACACTCATCCATCACAATATGATTCAAAAGAAACAAATGGTCTTTGTTGGAAACACCTGTTGGTCATGTTGAACTCATGGAAACAACATTCTAAAAGTCATGGTCTTCTGCATTATTGTGATTTTCCTTTGATAATTGTATATATGTCCTCTCAGCTAGATCAGTAACATCTCCATACAGCCTGTAAGGTTCAATATCAGTCACAACACTGATGGAATCTCCTGACCATTTCCCAACCTTATCCTGTATGCAAGAAATCATGGCATTGAGAGCAGCAGACAAGGGAGCTCTAAACTTTGCCTTTGAAATGTATTGTTTCTTGGTATGATTGACAATATATTTACCCTCATCAAAATAGATGGCAGGAGAATGAATCTTAATTCCCTTCATTCGCTTTGTGAGAAACTCAAACGGCGATCCATCTTCCTTGAGTAATTTCTTCAGCTCGGCTTCAAATTGTTTGGCCTCTTCTTCGAGGGATTGTTCCGAAATTTGGAGAGAGGAGGAAATGGATGGTTTGTTGCTTGCAGTATTTGGGGTGGTGCTTGTTTGATTTGTCTGGTTTGTCTGTTGTTGTTGTAATTGTCTTCTCTTACCCGATTTGAAACTATGCACGAGACCGGGTATCACCAACTTGTTGGCAATATCATCGTCGGCATACTCCCCGATAATAGCGAGACGATCCCCTCGCCAATCTCCACCATCTTCTATGAGCTCCATGACATCACTCATGTGCATGCCTTGATACGAGTTGGGATCAATGGAACGACCTAAATTCTTACAGCACAAACCCTTTGAAAAGTTGATGAAGAGAAAATGTTGAACCATATTTGGAGAGTACGATGGTAGTGGTTGTTGAAGGTCTGGATGATGAAAAGTTTCTTGTTGTTTTCTGTGTGAGAGAGAAACAGAGTGTTTGATAGATGGTTCTCGAGACTAGAAAATCTTTCTCGGAGTCTCTCACGAATATTCAATCCGTTGGGAGTGTTCTCTTGGTCGTTGGTATAGTTGTGATACGGCCCTGTCGGTATAATCAGCACACTATATATTGTGCTTTTCTCTCTCGATGATGATGATGGTGGTGGTCAAGTTGTTCTGATGGTGAACGTACGATTCAGCACAACCTAGGTTCTGAATTTCCGGCTGCTTCTTCTCTCTTTAATCACAAGAATGGCTTTTCCACAACAACTCTTCTCGGGTTGTTTTTTTTTATTGATGCGTTCGATATTTAGAAACATATTCAATCGTCGAACGCACAATATTCAACGAGGAGGTGGGGACATGATGATGATGAAGATGAGAACGCTCGAAAATAGGAGAAATCACACCAGCGTGTGCAAATGCATCACTTCCACCCCTCAAGCTCAACCATCAGAAAGCCTCAGAACGTTCCCAACCTCGTTATGACTTTGAGAGACAATGAACGTAGTTGTCATGAGCGATCATTACAAAACTGAGAAATGAAACCAAAGTTGTGTGTGTACGGAGATATTTGAAACTTGGAAATTCAAATAAGCTAATTTTAGAAGTTTTTTGTGGCGAACGAAAGGTCGTCATTTGGCTTGTTTTTTGGTTGTGGCCACGCTTTGAGGGCAACGAAAGAGAAATTGTTTGAATATCCCATGAAAGAGAAATTGTTTCCATCGCCATTCTTCCACTTCATTCTTCTGAGGAGGAGACAATTCGCGAAATCAAATCATAGAGCTTGGCTGGATCAATTCGTTCATGACAGCTACCATATAGGGCTCTAGGAACAGGGGCTGGTTTGACAGGAAGGCCTCTCACGATGATTTGCTTGTTCTTGTGTGATTGATCTTTTTTTGCATCTTGAATTTCATCCTCCAATTTTGTTTCTTCCACTTGTTTCTTGATATTGGAAGGATTCACACACTCAATCATATCCAAATGATTCATGAGAGAAATTGTTTTCACATTACTCAATGCTTCATGAAATCGAATGTTATAATCGGAGCATTGCAAACGATCATGATAACACATGGGAGTGTAAATGAGAGTGGCCTCTGGATGTAACATGAAGAGTGACATGTACGAAGCTGAGCCCTGTGTAGAGACGTAAATATTGAGGTCTTGGAAGAAGGTAAACATTTCCTTAAAGGACATGTTTTCTAATTTCAAATTTACAATTTCAATGGATTTGTAGAGATCTTGTTGTTTTTGTTGTTGAGGGCTTGTCAATTGATGATTGACCTTATCCAACAGAGACTTCTTATGACGGTTCAAATAATCAACAATTTCTTCCACATTCACGATGGCATCTTTGTTTTTGGTGTTGATGGGTTTGTTGTGAATGGCAATGGTGAACACTTTTCCCTTTCGGGACAAGACAGAGGACAATGATGAACTCAATGACTGTCGACTCTCGGTACGAGATGGTTGCAATAGTCCAATATTATTCAACAAATAATTTCTAAAAAGTTGAAGAATGGCTTCTCTTCGATACATGTCAAAGAAATAAGAATCTGGAGTGCCCATCACTAGACTTGAAAAACATGCGACAATTTCGTCCTTTTCATTGAGTTGCAGCTGTGAGGAGAATGATTTTGAGTGTTCTTGTCGACATGGTGCTTGTCCAATCGAATAACCTCTGTCTTGATCCTTATTGGAATAACAGAGTTGAAGAGGTACATATTGGGAGAAATATTTAGCCCAAATTAAGGAATTACTTTCCGCTAAATTTCCATCCATTCCTGCTCGTGAATGAATACCAGTCACTGCATTGAAAATATCATCGAAAAACAAAAGTCCCATATCGGTACTGACATACTCAAAGTCAAGCATCATGTTGAAAAGTGTTAAGAAATTATCCAAAATTAAGTGACCCGCATTTCCAATAGAATGTCTTGAAAATCCAAAAATTGGAGTTGAAAACCATTCGAAATCTTTGGAAATTCTAAGAATTTGATCCGAATTACTTTCCTGTATTTGTTCATTCTTCTTCTTGTTCATAAAATTCTGTTCTTGATTTTCTTGTGTTTCAGGTTGTTGTTCTGAAAGGATCAATTGTTTTGGAGGACTCCTCAAAAACACTCTAATCTTTCCAGGATTGAATTCTCTCTTCTTGGTCGCACTTGTACTCAACCAAATCTTTCCATTCAATTCACTTCGATTAAAAACATTGTTCTTGTAGAGAATCCAATTTCCCTTTCGACTCAGACACACATTTTCAAATCGACATGATGAATACAAGAATTCTGGATCTCTTGCAAAATTTGCATCCGATCGCAAACGAGTGCATTTAAAATCACTTTTAAATAATGCTGCTCCGTCTGTTGCTGTGAAAAAAGATGATTTGTCATGATTGACAGAATTGGATTTTCGTTTCTTGCCATTGTTGCCATGTCGTGTGAGTGGTGTTTCAAATGTTGAAAATGCATTTGGAATTTTCGGTGGAGAGTATCTCGTCCACACAAGATTCAAATGTTTGAGTGCTTGTTGTTGAGAATGTAAAATTTCTTGACTCGAAAATTCTCTCGTTTGTTTGATTTGAATTTCTGATTTTATACTTTCTGAAATTGGTTTAATTGAAGAAGAGATTGTTTTTGATTCATCTAGGAAAGAAAGATCTTGCAATTCTGTTTCCAACGTTGAAGAGGATGACAACTGACTTTTCTTGAATGAAGATATTTGAATCATGATCAAGGTCAAACCAATCATGAAAATTAAACCACCACACACCACAAGCAACATTATCCTCGATCGGTGAATGCTTGTCCACCATGATGACGATCCGAATCGGAACACCTGTTGTGGAGTATGAAAGTCTCTCCCAAGCATTTTTTTGTAATCTGTGTAAAGTTTGAATCGATTCCACGAGGAGTCTCTTTCAATTGATTCACCTAAACAGAGATATGAAAGAAATTTGAACTGCCATTGTGTTAAGTATACTCTTTCCTTTCATCCTTGTTTGATCACAAACACGACCACTCTCTTTGGTTGTGGCCTTTCACAAGAATTTCAAAGTTCAAAAAAAAGGGTGAAATATTCTTCCCACAAATTTTTCATCATCACTCACTCTCAATTTTTCAATTATTATTAATAATTCATTACTAGTATTCATTCCTCCGATCATTCTTTCAGCACACCAAACAAACCAAAACCACACAACTATAACAACCACACAAAATGGAAGGGTATGATCATTTCCTCAACCGACTCAGATCCAACACATATGATATGCAACAAGAAGAGCAACTCTTCCGTAAGAAGGAAGAAGAACGAAAAAAGAAGAAGGAAAGTCCATTTGCAAAGTTTGGACTTTCTCCTCTCTTACTCAAACAAATCAAACGATGTGGTTTCTATACACCCACCCCGATCCAACAATCTTCCGTTCCAGTGATTTTGCAAGGACGAGATGTCATTGCCATGGCTCGGACAGGTTCAGGTAAAACAGCCTCTTATTTATTTCCAATGTTTGAACGTTTGAATTATAAACATTCATCAACGGTCGGTGCAAGAGCCTTGATTGTAGTACCAACTCGTGAATTGGTTTTGCAGGTGAATAAGGTGATTTATGATTTTATTGGTAAAGTCTCGGATTTGAAGACTTGTATGTTGTTTGGTGGTAAATCTATTGAGGGACAATTTGAGAGATTGAGTGCAAATCCGGACATGTAGGTTTTGTCTATTTAATGTTGTTTCTATAATGTTACAACTATTGAATTGGATTCTTTTTAATGATATTTATTCATTTATATACCATTTTAATATGACGATGAATGATGACACTCTTTGTTTTCAACAACGAAAATGATTCACGGAAATATTTCACAAAACAGAATTATTGCAACACCTGGACGTTTGTTACACATTATGGTAGAAACTGGACTCTCTTTAAAGAGGGTAGAATATGTCGTGTTCGATGAGGCTGATCGTTTATTTGAAATGGGTCTCTCTGAGCAATTATATCAAATTATTGACAAATTACCACAAACAAGACAAACTCTATTGTTCTCTGCTACTTTACCAACAGCTGTTGCTGAATTTTCGAAAGCTGGCCTCAATCAACCTGAATTGATTCGATTAGATTCTGACATTAAAGTGAGTGACACAATTCGATTGAGCAGCATTTTCATGAGGTCCAACGAGAAGTATGCAGCCCTTATTTATTTATTGAACAATATTATCAGTAATAGAGAGTCAACTATCATTTTCATTCCAACTCGTCATCATGCAGAATATTTATTAACATTATTTTCTCATTACAAAATTGATGCCACAGTTGTTTATGGTAGCATGGATCAACAAGCTCGTACTGAAAATTTAGAAAAATTCAGAAATGGAGAAGTTAATATTTTACTTGTCACCGATGTTGCTGCTCGTGGTATCGATATTCCTGAAGTGAATAACGTCATTAATTTTAACTTTCCTGGAAAACCAAAATTATTTGTTCACAGAGTTGGACGTGTTGGTCGTGCTGGTAAGATTGGTACAGCTTATTCCCTAGTAGGACCTGATGAAATTCCTTTCTTCCTTGATTTGGAGCTTTTCCTTGGTAGAAAATCAAAGAATGTTGTTTTAGAAACTATTTATGAAGACGATGAAACCAAGTTAGTTCCAGCAGATTTAACAGGTAGAAACTGGAGAGACTATATTGATGGATATTTTGGAACCATTCCACAATCCATCATTGATCGAGAAATTGAACAAATTACTAAATTTGAGAGCATTGACCAAGCGCTGAAAACAGAAGGAGAAGTTTGCACAAGAGCCATGCAACTTTATAATAGAACAAGAGGAGAACCTAGTGGTGCCTCTATTGCACGATCCAAAGAGTATCTCAACCTTTCTATTCACCCCATGATCAAAATATTTGAAGTTATTTCCGATGAAGAAGAAGAACAACACGACATTTTAACACAAATGAAAAATTACCGACCTGGTCAATCCATTTTTGAATACAAGGAAAAGGAAAAAAGCCCAGAAGCTGAAGTGATGAGAAAAAGAAGACAATTCCTTAAACAAGCTCAGGTATTGAAACAAGTACGAGATTACGCAGTAGTTACTGGAGTTGAGAGTGATCATGAAGTCGAGATGAAAGAAAACAGAGAAGTATCAACAACATTTACGAGTCATGACAACAATTCACAATCTTCCTCTGCTGCTCCAAAGACTCCCAAAACTCTCGCAGAAAAATTATTAAGCGAATCTTCCAAACAAGAACGATTTGTGAAATTATCCACCATGGACACAAATAATTCCAAATCCAAGAAGAAAGAATTTAGAGATCCCAACTTTTTCATGGATTACGGAAAGGAAGAGAAAACAGACTCCACGCAAGATCACTACTCTCTAAATGGAGCCTCAAATAAGAAGAAGAAACCACTCACCAATGTAGTCTCTAGTGAATTCAATGAAATTACACAACTACAAATCAATGATGCTGTGATGGATATTGGAGGTGAAACGAGAGATGAATTAAATAAGCAACAAAGAAAGAAACAAGGCATGATTTGGGATAGAAAGAAGGGTAAATATGTGGTGGGTGTGATGGGTGTGGATGGTAAAGTGAGACGAGATGACAATAAGAAGAATGATGATCTCAAAACGACAGATGCCTATGCCAAGTGGAAGAAGAGGACTCATGGTCGAATTCAACAAGTGGGTGAAGTGGAAGAAAGACAAGATTTTGTTTCTGGAAAGCGAGGAAGAACAAATGACAACGAAGAAGAGTACTACAATGGTGATTATGATGGAGGCGATGATGGTGACGAAGTCACTCTCACCAATAATAAAAAGAGAAAGAAGGCTCCATGGGAAGAGAAGAATGAAAAGAATAAGAAGAGAAAACTAGTCAAGGAAGGAAAGGCTGGTAAAGAGGAAGTTAAGAGTGAGGCACAACTAAAGAAGATTAGAAAAGAAATGAAGAAGAAGCAACAACATAACAAGGTCAAAGGTCTCATGAAGAGACACGGAGCACAATCTGTTCTCAATTCCATTCAAAGAAAGGGTATGATCAAGGCCCTCGAACAACGAAACGCCATGCCAAACAGAAATTCAAAAGGTCAAGTTCGAATTTTCAAGCGCAGAAAGTAAAGTATTGACATTTCAAATCCTATAAATTGCCCTCATCATTAAACAAACTCAGAATTTCAAGCAGAGAACAAATAATGAGGTTTAATTAATTTGTGACATCCGCTACTTGAACAATCCTCCAAGTGACAACAACAGACTAGCATCCTCATGAATCTTGTTTGTGTCACTGGTTACGGTGTTAGAGGTTGAATTGCTTTGTGTGGACCCGTTTTGCACCACAAATATAACTTGACTTGTTGGAATAGTTGTGGATGGGGCTGGACTCGCGTTAGGAATTGTATCACAAAATACAGATTGGAAAGGGGTTAACATCTCGTCAGCGTTCTCGAGTGGAAGTACTAGGGATTCATCTGTTCTTTTGAGAATTTCATTCACGTTTTTCACGGTAAATTCGTTCAACTTTTTAGCAAACGAATGAAATATTGGAGAATAAATTGTGAAAGGTGTGGGGCCCGTATAATCGATCTTCAATCGAAATGGAGCATAATTGAACCTCTTAGAGCAATAGGTCCTATTAATACCGAACCTCAGTATGATAGAATTGTCATTTTCTTTGGAGGCGGAAGTAAGAGTGATGGTTTCAACATCGCTGGGCTTTTTGTGGGACTTTTTCTTTCGTCCATTTTCTTCTCCCTCACCAGAAGATGAGGCCTTTTGTTTGGTAGATTTACTTGGCTCATATGATGGGAGTGTAAAGTCGCGTCCCATAACCAAGTCAACCTGTACATTGGCAATCATGACCTTATTTGAAACTCCTTGAAAGACTGGATCTTCTGTAACAATTTTAAGATCATACTTGTGCTTCCAAGTGAGAGTGTACAACACTTTTGGGAATGAAGAAACAAAGGCTGCATCTCTTGATTTTTTAAATTCCACCGTAATGCCATTGCGATTGGTTATGAATGACCAATCATCCACATTATAGGGACTGTGAATACTATTGCTGGAAGGAGGTACTCGCTCTTGAGAAGTGCTGTTGTTGGTTAAGGATTGATTGAGAGGTAAGGCCATGGTCTTGATTGGGTTAAGGTTATTCAATGTTCCAACATTTGTCGGCGACGAAGAGGAAGATACAGATGTCGTTGGTGCTGATGAAAGAGAGGGTTGATTCACAAGCACTAGGGTCCTCCTGGGCACAACTTTTCTGTCCGAGTCGGAAGATGGCGAGCCCGTACTTGCGGTTGGTGATGAAGTCGCTCCACTTGTACTGACTGGAGTTGACTTGGTTTTAAATCTTCTTTTCGAGTTAGATGATGATGCCGTAGTTGCTATTGGTACACTGGATGATGATGACTTGATGCTCTCTTGGTCAACTTGAGGTAAAAACAAAGCTGTGGGGGAAACCAACACTGGTTTGGGTACAGTGGAGGTTGGAGATTCTTCTTCTTCGGAGGCATGCTCTTCATTGTCGCTGTTCATTCTAATAGTACTATTAGAAACCCTTGTTGAAGAAGAAGGAGCATGAAGCTCAAATAACTGCTGTATTGGTGATGAGACTGGAGATGCTTCCGATGATGAAGATGATGCTGAAATTGTAGAAGTGGAGGAAGACTGCTTTTTCTTCTTCTTTTTGCTGCTCACCGTTTGCTTTGATTTGGAAGAACGGGAGGAAGAAGATGAAGTACTATGCACTCCGAGATCATTGTCATCCTCGGGTAGTTCCAATCGTTCATCATCCTCACCCATCTTATTGCTAGAATCATCAATATCTACAAAATCTTCATCAAGAACCTTCTTCTTCCTCTTTCTTTTTCCTAATTCACTTGTTGCTGCAGGCATGGCGTTAGGAGAGAATAGTTTTTAGAGGGAGGTTGAAACTCAAGACACGACTGGATTGATCTTGTTGCAAGCACCAACAATATATATTGAGAACAGAGGACTCAACTGAGATAGTTGAGTGAAAAATGAATCAGAGTTTCAGAAAATGGGAGCGCTGCGCGGCGGTTGTTGTTGGAAGTGCACAGCAAAGGCTTTGACGCTATTTTTTTCGCGACTAAGGCCCAGTTGACCGGAAAACCTCAAATATACAAAATTGAGTGTTGTAAAATGAGTGGTGGATGGCAAATGATTTACAAATGGTTCAATGGCTCGCATCAAGGAGATATGCTATGGATGATGGTCATCATTTAAATGTGATTGCGTTTAATGAGGATACAAGATGATCGAGATGAAGTTTTTTATATCATCTAATGCAATGTTCTGTTGAATAAAGATATTGGAGTAATACCTGCAATATAAAATTGTAATAACTATTACAATCTCGGATGGTGATAGACGAGTCGTTTTTGAGCATGTTATGGTGTGAAGTGTTTTTTCTGTCACGGCACAATAAATCCTCCAATTAATGAATACAAATCAAGTCAAAAAATGTCCAAGAAAGCATCTCCTCCATCAACAGCATCAGTCAATAATGATGATGATGAAGATGAATCGTTAGATCATGACTTAACATCAAGTGGGAGTGATGATGAAGAGGACGATGTAGTGGAAGAAAAGAGAAATTCTAAAGTAAACAATAACAAGAATGTTACGGAAGAAAATGAGGAAGAAGATGAGGAAGAAGGAACCGAAGATGATGAGGATGAGGACGAAGAGGAAGATGAGGATGATGAGGATGAGGACGATGAAGAAGAAGAGGAAGAAGAATATGAACCACAATTGAAATATCAACGACTCGGTGGAAGCCTTCCAAAAGATATTTTCGGTATTGAAGGAAATTATGCCAGTGCTTTAGTGGTTGGTGAAAAGGTAAGAAGATCCCATGAATCAGTATCATCAAGAACGAGATTATCATTCTTTATATTGGTTTTTTAAATAACGACAAAATGTATATTATTACACAATCATCATCATCATAATAATTGTGAAAATTTATTCCATCAACTCCGATATTGGAATCATCATCATGAACAATTGCATCATCTTTGTCAACAACAACAACCATTCAAAACAATTCAAATTTAATATGAAACGATCATCAACAGTTTCTCGCTTTGGGAACACATTTAGGTTACTTGTATCTTTTGGATATTGAAGGAAATAATAACCAACAACAAAAATTCAGACCTCATGCCGAAACGATTAATGATTTATCTATTGACAGCACAGGTGAATATATTGCTAGTTGTAGCAATGACGGAAAGGTTGTTGTGTATAATATTTATTCAGCCCTCTATGCCAGCATGCAAAATCCCTCAGTTCACAAAAAGATTTTAGATCCAAACAGTGACGCAAATACAGTCATCACAGGCAATAGCGTCTTGACAAATGTTTCTTCAGCCCTAACAGGAGGATCTGTAGGTATCCAAGAGGGTAACATGATGGAATTTTTCTTCAATAGACCCATGAAGTCGGTGGCTTTGGACCCTTTCTATTCATCAAAGAGCGACCACTCAGTGGTTTGTGGAGGAAAAACAGGAAAATTAACATTGAAGAAAAAAGGATGGTTTGGAACCTATAAGGAAGTAGTAATTCACAAAGAGGAGGGAGAAATTCATGCTGTGAGGTGGTTTGGCGATTTTATTGCTTGGGCCAATGACCTCGGTGTTAAAGTTTATGATGTGGTATCAAATCAGAAAATTACCTACATTCCTCGATCAGCTACAGCACCAAGACCAGATATGTATAGAGCTTGTCTGAATTGGTGTCTTCCTGAAAGATTTGCGATCGATACTAAACAATCAGATACCAAAGATACAAGAAACCTAGCTCAATTATTGATAGGTTGGGGTCAAAGTGTCACACTCATTGTCATCAAGGAGCGAAAATTACCAAAAGAACAAAAATCACAAAAATTTGTAGAAGTACTGGCCATGTTTGAAGTGGATTTCTTCATTTCTGGTATAACTCCCTATTCGAACGAAAATAGTCTATTGATTTTAGCCTACGATGAGGAAGAGCAAGAGGAAGATGACAAAAAGAAACTCCTTGCTCCTAGACCTGAACTTCGAATTATGGATTTGAAAGGAGAAGAAAAATCATGTGATGCACTTTCAATCAAAAATTTTGAAAATTACTTTGCCACTGACTACAGACTGGAAACATTCAACCCTTCTACTTCTTCGTCTCATCATTTCGTTGATCAAGAAGAAGTTTATTACATTCTTTCTCCAAGAGATATAGTTGCTGCAAGACCAAGAGACAGTGATGACCACATTAAATGGCTCATGCAAAAAAACAAGTATACGGAAGCTCTCAAATACGCCAAAGAAAACGAAAGCCAACTTAAAAGCATTTCAATTGTTGATATTGGAAAGAAATATTTGCGCCACTTGTTGGAAAACAAGCAATACAAGGAAGCTGCGCAAATGGTGCCCAACGTTTCTGGAACTGATCAACAGCTGTGGGAAGAATGGATTTACGTATTTATTGACTTGAAACAATTCCATGTGATTATACCATACATACCTATTAGCCAACCAAGGCTGAAAGATGCAGTTTATGAGATGAAGCTAAACTATTACCTTCTTAACTCTCCCGAACAGTTCCTTTCATGTATCAAAGAATGGCCACAAGATTTATACAAGATCCAAAATATTACATCGGTCACAAGCGAAAGAATTGGCGTTTTGGAGCAGGAAGCTGAAAGAAATAGACTCGATGGAAAAGACCAAGAAGCTCGCGATTGTGAGAAAAAGATATCAATCCTATTGGAGGCATTAGCTAATTTATTTATGTATGAACAACAGTATGACAAGGCCCTTAATATTTATTTCAAGCTTCGAAGGGCTGACGTTTTTGAATTTATTCAGAAATATTCTCTTTTTTCGTCTGTGCAAGACAAAATTATGGTTTTAATCAGTTTTGATGAGGATAGAGCTTTAAGGTTGTGTGTCGAGCATCATGATAAGATTATGGTAGATCAAGTCGTAAAACAACTTCGTAATGAGAGAGTACAGCTCTTAAAGTATCTTGATGGCCTCTTTTATCACAATGTACAAAATGCCCAAAAGTATCACATTTTGCAAGTAGAGTTATTTGCTGAGTATGACTCCAAGCGACTGGTTTGGTTCTTGGAGCAAAGTCAATCGTACAAAATTGAGCAGGCGTTGCAAATTTGCGAGCAACATTTAGGAAAACCAATTGAAAAAACATTTGAATATTTGTATCGAAGAGATGTACCTACAGTTGCGGAAAGCAGTGCCAACAAGCGAGCGAAACCAATGATTACGTCAGATGATCAATATGATTCAGAATCTGACGATGAGTCAACAACAACTGCCACAGACGTGCCTGTTGGTAATACAGTGTCGAAAAATATTAATAGCAATGAGGACGATCTTGTATTACCTGAAAGAAACAAACAACTGTACAAGGGAATTGTCTATCTATTGAACAGAATGGGTAACACAAATGATGCTCTTGCCTTAATTATTGATAAATTAGAGGATGTTGCTCTCGCGATCGAATTTGTAGAAAAGCAGCCAGATAGCGAACTTTATCAAGATCTGATTAACAAGAGTTTGAAAAAACCAAAATTTATTTCAGGACTTTTAGATCATATTGCAGAACATGGTAGTGACTACATTGATCCATTAGCACTTGTGAAAAAGATTCCAGAAGGCATGGACATTGAAGGTCTTAAAAAGAAACTGACTCGTCTCATTACAAACTTTTCTCACCAAAAGACACTGCAAGAAGGTTGTCAAGAAATTCTCCAAGCCGATCTTAAACAACAAAGCTCTCAATTATTTAAATTCCAAAGAAAAGGAGTTCGAGTAAGACTTGGTGGACGATGTGCTCTCTGTGGACAACGACTGACCATGACCAAAGAGGATAACATTATTTTCATGAGTGGATTTTATTATCATTTTAGATGTTACTCGGAAGTGGTGGATGTCGATACTGGTGGCTCTTCATCGAATGACGCAAATGGTGACATTGACTCTGCTCAACCTTCAAGTTTCTCTTCCTCTGAATCGAAACCAAATCTTGGAAAATTGCAGTGCATTGTGACACAATCCAGGGAAAAGAAAAATGTAAGAAGAAAGTAGAAGAACAAGTTGCTTTCACGACCATTTTATGATAAATAACTTATTTTTCGTTTTGAATGCATTATTCACATTACATGACTGTCTTCGATGATATAAGGAAACGCTTTCAAAAGCATCTGGTGCAGCAATTCGAGAGAAACCCATTTCCAACATTTCACATTTATTGAGCCTGTGAAATAGCGAAAGTGATCAGAGACTCAAGAGATACACAAGCAATGTTGTGAATTTGGAGTTTGATTGTAATGGAAATGTGACGCAACCACATCACTGTAAAAAATATCTAAAATCCTTGTTTGGACATTTTCATCATCTTGCTTTCCAACCGTTGATTCCTTCTTTTCTTGGATCGGAGTTGTGTTCATCATCAATAGACAGATTGTTTGTTTGTAATATATAACACATCCTTGTACATTAATCACTCTACTAGAATACTACTTTCAACACACTCAGAATGAGTTCGTGGTGGGGCGTGAATTCATCCATCGATTCCATTTCTCATCAAAAGAGAAATCAAATTCTTTCCTCTCCTTCAGTATCACAGAGCGGAGGTAGTGGAGGTGCCTCTTCATCCTCCAATGGCAATAATAATAGCGGAGCGAAAAAGGCTTCTTCCTCAACATCATCTCCATCATTAGGAAATTCTAATTCCGCTGTAAATAATCCACCATCGGGAGTTGTTGGTTATGCAGTGAGTGCCGATGATGAAATTAGGTTTTCATCTCTGGAAGATTTAAGTTCCTATATTCAACAATTTGCTTCAAACATTCATAATTTGGAACGAAATATCAAACACTTGTTGAGGAATTATGAATTGAGTGGATCCAACAAATCAAGTGCCATTGATTCCTTAAATAATAGCAAGGACTCGGAACGATTACGTGCTAAAATTAAGAATCTCAAAGATAAGATTCAAAAGAGCAAGGATGTGATTGTGAAGGGCTTGAACCGATTTTCAAAAAAGAAGATTGATAGTAGTAGTGCCTATGATGTCAATGATAATGAATCACTAACAAGCTCGAGTTTATCTGGTGGATATGACTCTATGGGAATTTCCTCTTCTCAGAAAATTCAATTCAACAAGTTACAAACTCAATTCAAGGAACTTTGTAAACAATACGAAAAGTGTATTCAGGACTATAGAGACACTGAAAAGAATATGAAACGATCACAACTATTTAATTATGGCGAAGATGACTTGGATGCCATGTTTTCTCACAAAAAGTCTTCGTCTCGCTCTGGCATGGCAAATAACAATGGCAAAGGTAGACCAATGAAGAGTGACTCCTCTCCATCACTCTCCGGTAGAGGCATGGGTGACGAGGACGAAGCTGACAGCAATTACCAAGAGGAAGAACATCTTTCACAGCCTGGTGTTCAGTCATTGGCTCCTCAATTTGTTTTGAGCGCTGCAGATCAAGCCACCTTGGATGTTGAGAAACAAATTGCACTCGAAACGAATCGAGAATTGAGAGATTTGGAAACTAGTTACTATGAATTGCATCAATGTTTTGTCGATTTGAACGAAATGATCAAGGAACAAGATGAATCCATCACTGTGATTCATGACAATGTCGTAAAAGCAAATGAATATGTCGAACAAGGTGTCGAAAATATTAAGGTTGCCAATAATTTCACTGGAATTGGAATGTTGAAGAATATTTTCTCTCCAGGTAATATTGTCAAGAGTTTAATCAAGTGATTGGACATGCTATGAGATTGATTCTTTCATGAAAAGAGCAAGTCAAATGGTTTACTGTGTGTAGCTTTTTTGCGAATGCAGCCATTGTTTGTACTAGGAATGTCGAAAGATTTTTTGAGTTCACGAGTCAATCCACGAATAAACTGGCCTTCATAAAAACTTTTGGAGACAATCAATTTAGAGGTGTGGGTAATGAATTTCGCTGAACACAGTCTGGTATCTAGAGAACTAACGGGTATGTACATTGCAACAAGGAAAGAGGAATTCTCGCATTGTGAATCTCTCATCATACTCACGAAATATTTCTCGAGGCAAGGGCTTCCAAATCAAGAAAAAGCAACAACATCATCACGTAAAGAAGAGGCAAGAACCTGATGAAATATTTCATTCGAATCACGTTGTATTGCATGATGAGAATGGAGAGACAGAACTAGTCTTATCCAAAAATTGGTAGCTCTCCAATGAACAGACGACTTGTAAATACAAACCCAAAGAACGATAACGTTGCAATGATGAAGCGCACTATACCTCTCAACAACACAACTCGAAATCAATAATATTCCATCATGTATTCCTGTGTGTGAAACTCGTTAATAATTTATTGTTCGAAAACAACAACATCAAATTTATGCAGAAGCTTGCATAATCTTGTATCCCCACCAGATAGCCCACAACCAACCAATCAAGATCCATGAAGTAACAATTTGCAAAATACCAACAATCAAAGTTGGTTGCATCTTCTCCTTCTCAGAGGTGATCAAAGCAGCCAAAATGGTACCGAAACCAGGGAAGAAGAAGTTAATGAGGAGGATGACAATACCCATACCTTCGCATCTTGGAGTACTATCTTCGAAGAGACCCATTTTTGTTAATTCTAGTGTAGTGGTTTTTTTTTGTTTCAAAATATACAACAGCTGGACATCTGACAGCTCTTATCGATTCCAAGGAGTGTGTCATTCTTGCTGGGGTGGGAACACTTTACAAGTTCACTTCCGTTCTGGCTTCTTCGTCGCAAACCAATCGTTCATCAACGGTTGACCGTTGTAATCACTTACAAAACTATTGCCCTCAATTTTCATTGGACGAAAGAAGCGGGAGTTTTTTTTTGTTGATGAGATGACCTTTTTCACAGTGAAAGGAGAGCAACATCCAAATACCAAATTCATACTAGTTGGAGCGATCTACAGTTCTCGAGCGAAATCTAGGTGTCATGAACGAGTTCAATACAGTTGGTGGGTGTCGAATTCAATTGAACTCCACCTGTCACCTTTGAATCGATATCCAACACTGAGCGTTTCTTCAAGAATGGATTGCTCAGACCTTCAATTCTTGTTGTTCAATTGTTGTTGTGGTGTTTGGAATCGTTGTTGTTGTTGTTGAATAATGTTGAACCATCAAGTTGACAGTGGTTCAGACCGCTTCTAAACTATCAAAAGAGTTGAAGAAGGTCATTGGAATCCAAGGAATTGCTATTTTTGTACATATAACCTCACGTTAATGTTGAATTGTAGTGGAGTGGCATGGTTCTCTACAGTTAATTTTAGAGGACAAGTTTCCGTTGTGGTGGTGGAGGTTGTTCACCTTCTCGCTGACGACGAAATTTTTCATGTCTTTAAAAGGAAATATTGAGTGAGAAGGTGAACGGAGTTGAGAGAGTCACTCTCCGACGCTGAAGGTTTTTTCGAAATTCTTCCTTCTTGAAATGTATGTACACACCTTCTGACCTGATCATTTCTTCCATCACACTCAAAAATTACTTGCGACGAGACACTTCTTTAGAAACATCTTCTGTAGTGACATTAATTTTCAAAGTGGAAGCATTTACGTGAGTGAATATTTCACTAAAAACTTGTCACCAACCTCTAAATTCGAAACATTGAAACAACAACACTATTTGGTCATTCAATTTGGATTCTTGATTCTTCATTCCATTGGGAGGACAGGAATGATAATTTTTTACCGTGTTGGAATTCACAGAGGAAATGCAGCGGAAAAGGGTGAACTGCGAACTTCGGAAAGCCTTAACTGACTTTCCTAAAATATTGTTTCCAGAATAATCATTAAAAGTGAAAAGAACAAGCTTACGAATGATTTCCATTTATTTATTATTGATCAATCAGCTGCAAAGATGGAAATAGGTGGTTGTAGATTCTTGTTGGTGGATGATCATCATCACAAGGATCAGGAATGTGGTTGGGTAGAATTGTTTTATCATTCTGGAGGTTTTCTCTTCAGTTGCTCGGTAATAGAGAATGCGTTGGTATAGAGTAATGAAGGACGGTTGTATTCTGTTTTTCTTCTTTTTCTGTTGCTCTGTTAACGGGGTTGGACGTTATGACATTTTTTTGTTGGAAATTTGTTCTTGTGTTTGCTCGAGCAACCCGGTAAAAAAATTCTTCTATCCACTCGAAAACTTCTGCGAAACCTCCCGCCCTTTGTCTCACAGCTGCGCCTTCGACTCAGGTCGGAAGTGTTCCGCATCATTTTCCTCGTGGCAGAATAACTAGAAGGTTTGCAACAATTAGCATTGAAAGTTTTTTTAGAGAGAGAGAGATGCTTCGAGTTTGGCTGCCATAATATGAAAGTATTGCTAATTGTCCTGTTTCTCATGTGCATCATTGATTCCATATGTATTTGTATTCAAAGTGAATTTGACATTATTAAAATCACTTTTGCAGATTGTCGATTCGATTGTATAATTATTCAAACAATCATAATCTAAATGATTGAGTTGAGAGTGGAGTCACAACAAATGATTCTTGGTCACACACTCATGTACTTGCTGTTAATTAGTAATTATTCAAAACGCCCTTTTTTGATCATTCTCTTTTTTGGGAATTCACACAAAAAAAATTAATCTTTGATCCGACACTTGACATCACTCTCTTGAAAATCTTGTTGTGCACAAGATTGGATCATCACGATCATCACGTGAATTGAATATTTTACAATCTCAAGAGAGTATAATTTTGGAATTATCTACTTTTCTTCGGATCATTATCTATCTTCAATATAACACACAATAATCAAAAACGAACCTTAATCTGACTCAGCAACAAGAATGCCAATTTCGAATCATGAAACATTCTATGAGGAGGCAAAAAGGAGACTCCGAAGAAAAATACCAGCTGCTCAAGGTGGGTTGTGTTTCATATTTGTACAAATTTGATTTCGAGTGATGGATTATGTTGATATTCAAATGATGATGATATTCAAATTTGATGATGATCTTATGCTTTTCAAAATTTATTAATTGATCTTATGCTTTTCAAAAATTGTTAACAATTACACTCCATTTGGATCCATTGTTGAAAAAAAACATGATCATCACCATGGATTACCATTCATATTGTCAACAAAAAGCTGTGACATATACCAATGTCGAATTACCCTATCACTTTCCTCCAGAGGTGTATAAAGTCTCATTTAGCGAAGAATTACACAAAGGAATATTATACACTCGTGTCAACAATTGGTTTGGCTCGAGAGAGGAATTAAAAAAGAATGAAAAGGCATTGGGAAGAATCAAACAAAATCAAACCATGAAAGAATCACTGAGTATGAACAACACGATAGCATCCTCTTCTCGATTGTTTCAACAACGAGAGATCACTCCCAATAATGAACCCAATAATGAACCCAAGACTTGCATTCCCATTCAACAACAAATCTTAATGACCAATAATATTGGAGATTTTCTAGCGTTTTACTTTTTAAAAGGTCACTATCCGGAAGTGGAATGGACTCTCTTTCAACAACAACAACCAGAAGACCATGAATTATTGTTGATGTTGACGACAAAAAACAGCAAGATGGAAAAAACAAATTCCACATCAAGTTCACAAATCAATGTGCAAGATGATCATCAAAATGACAACATTTTGAAACGTTTATTTTCCAAAGACAAATCCATATTGAATAAGGAAGCAAATTACATATGGGTCATTGATGCAAATTTTAATTTTGTTTTTGCTCCTGAACATCAAGTGGATTTTGCATTGCAACGTGTTCGTGTGAAACATGGAGATTTGACAGCAAGTGGATATGTAGCTCTGGTTGGAAATATTGATACACTTACAGTTGGAAGATTACCTGCAAGTAGGTTTTTTTGAACGTGTGTGTGTTTTTAAAAAACATTTATTGGGTTTGTGATGTTTAAAACATTTACTGGGTTTGTGAATAATGATGAATGGTTGTTCCGATCTTCTTTATTTGTCAATCTTTATGAATGATCTATTTATATTTTTGGAAAAAGGAATGGGAGGAGAATTTCGTTTTGATAAGTCAAAAGGAACCTGGAGAATAGGTAGGTCTTTTGAGATCTCTATGAATTCACGTAATGTTTCTGATGATTTGTAAACATTAATTCTTGTCACACATGTGGTTTAAAACATTCCATTTTGGATAATTTATAAACCTTATTTCACAACCTTCCATTTTGAATTTTAAATCACAAAAGATAATGACTCTTCGTATTGTTTTTTCAGAGAGGATAATCTAATCATTTCAAACACAGCCAACATTAAATGGCAATTCATGACAGAGTTATTACTTCGAGCTCTTGGAATTGTCACCAATGATATTTTATGGTTGGATCTCGTTCAATCGCGTCGTTTGGATTCATTCATTGTTCAGAAAATTTCTAAAACCTTCGTCCGTATGAAGAAGGAGGAAGAAAAAGAGACAGCCATGAGTGACGTGAGTCGAAAATTTGCTCTTGTCAATTTATTTCGAGGAGTCAATTTATTGGATATTGTTTTTGAGGCATTTGGAGCAAAGAGTTTCTTTTGCACCACAGGAAAATTACTTGTCGAAATTGTTGAAGCATTGAATTTACCACATTTAGATGTTTTTAAACTTCAACATGCACATTCGTATTGTAAGGTGGGACTTCGTGGATGTGAGACGATTGAACATCGTAATTGGTGGGACAAGTACTACACCACAGCCATTCAAAAGAGAAATCAAAATCCACAATTTAATGAAAAATTCACACTCTATGTCACGAGTATGGATGTTCAAATTTTGGATCTCAAGGTTTTTCACTCCAAGTTGGGAGTCATGCCCATTTTGTTGGGAGAATGTGAATTGGAATTGTCAGAGTTGAATTTTGATGAATTTGATGAATTGGATTTGTATTTGCCTCTTATGGTTCCAAAGGGTGTCTTGTCTTTGCCTTCTCTGTCTTCGAGTAGTACGGACGAAGATAATGAGAATCTATTCGTTCGAATGAACATTGTACCTAGTAGTTTGGTTCATGTGAATTCCATCACGGCTCAAAATTCGGTCTCTGGAAATATTGCATTCATTGGCGAGAGTTTGAAACAGATTGTAGGAAGTGAAACTGGAGTGACCAGCTCAAAGCATCAATCACGAGTTGGCAAGGTATCGGTTGAACCCTCGGTTTCTATGAGCTCTCTAAATTTCATGCAGACTTCGACACCAAGTTCAACAACTCCCCTCATTCACATCAAACTCAGATATGTGCCACACATCAAGCATGACTTTGGACATTCAAACTCTGTGGGATCACTCTCTTCTGAGAAGAATGAAAGTGAACACAAATTGCTCACCTTTAACGAAATTATTACGCAACTAGAATTGGAGGATGAATAGTTGAACAGCAATAAACTGTGAGTATCAGTACCAACAATTGTGACATGTACTGCAAGTTTTTTTCAAGTGGTTTGGAGTTTCAAATCGATAATTTATTATTCTACTGCTCCAATTCATGAATTGGATTACTTTCTCCAATTTTCAATGTATAGAGCTGGTTGCTTTCCACTCTCTAAATAATTTTTAATATTTGGCAAGCTTTCAATGTTTTGTTTGGCTTTCAACAAACGAGGATACTTGCTCCACAAATGACCTTCCTCTAACATGAATGATTGTTCCACAAGAGCATCATATAACACAATATCGGCCCAGCTTAACTTGCCTTTTGTCACAAATGACATTTCGAGTGATTTTCACACATTTTCACAACCATAAAGAACAGTTCGCGAGATTAATGATGATGATTGACCATCAGAATCGTTAACAACTCACCTCCAACCAAGTACAAGTGATCGCCACTTTCAGCCTTCTCCAAAAATCCTTCAAAGCGATTCAAGTAATTAATCATTCCTCCCTCTTTCCATTCTTTCTTTGCAACTGAAGCTTCCTTTCCACTATAATAAGCTCTATATACACCACTTCTAAATTCATCCACACCTAAAACATATTGCAATGCGACAGACTGATCAAAATCATCATCGGGAATAAGAGAACCCTTCTTTGCCAAATATTGGCAAATGGCAATGGATTGTGCCAATCGTTTGGTTCCCTGTTCATTCTTAATCTCCAACATTGGAACTTGACCAAAAGGACACAAAGACTTCAGATCGGAAGGCAAATCTTCAAAGAGGTTTCTTACGACGTGGATTCCACCTTGTACGGCAATCAAGTAAGCAGCTTCACCTCTCTTTTGCAATCATCAAGACGTGCAAATTTTGGAGTTTGGTGTTCATCATCATCATCCGATTGATTATTTTGTCGTTGAAAATCATGATTCATCATCATCGTGGTGTGATCATCATAAGTTTTTGTCCAAATGTGTCTCTAGAAAAATCAAAACCCCATTCACCACCTACTGCTTGAATATCAAAGTAATGAAGAGTCAAGGTTTCGGAAGACATTTTTTCTTGGTGGGACGCACTAATCATGAAAACTTGAAGCTTCATGATGTAAAACTCCTTTTACGCCTCTTGTTTGTTCCAGCCTAACATCCTTGTTGATGATGATTAATTATATGTTTGAAAATTGTATAAGAGAGTCAAACCATGCTTTTAATTATAAGTGTTCAATACTTTAAGCTTGTGTCTAAGAAGTGTTTACAATTGGATTGGAAGTTAAAAGGAATTATCTCCTTTGTCGTTAGTTGTACTAAGGTTCATCTTCGCAAAAGTTCAGAAAAGATTCCTGCTAAAAGATTCGGACAAGTTCAACTGGCTCAAAAAAGGAATATTCATGTCCCGCCACTTTCAGTCAACCTTATCTCCGAACCGTAAAGAGGTTTGTAATCGTCACCCACCTTAAACATTCAAAGGTGAGGTGGCCACACACTGGTTCTCAATTACCAAACAAAAAAAAACAAAACAACTCAAAACAATAACAAAAATGGGTCTCTTCGAAGATAGCACTCCAAGATGTGAAGGAATGGGATTGATTATCCTCATTATTAACTTCCTCTTCCCTGGTTTCGGTACTCTCATTGCTGCTTTCATCACCTCTGAGAAGGAGAAGATGCAACCAACTTTGATTGTTGGTATTTTGCAAATTGTTACTTCATGGCTATTGATTGGTTGGTTGTGGGCTATCTGGTGGGGATACAAGATTATGCAAGCTTCTGCATAAATACCTCTAGATTTCTAGTAGGGGAGTACCTAACGGGCTCCATGCAATTACTTCAATAAAATTGTGTTTCCTTTCAATTTGATTTGCTCATGATGATGTGTTTTGGTATTGTCATAATTGAGCTGATTCGAAAATACAATATTTTCTTGTCCACAATGATGAATCTATTTCAAAGACTCCTTTTTGAACGTTTGTTGTATGATTTGGAACGTTTGTTGTATGGACGCGTCGTGTTGAACGCATTATTGCCCTTATCTCAGTTTTGGGACCACCACACCCTCAGTAACCATGTGGTTGTTTTCATAAATGATGGACCTGTTACTATCTTAAATACGAGTAAATTGTCGGAGGAGATCATCAGAGCACCTTCCCTCCATGATGATTTACAACAATCTTCTCCGTTTACAAAAATTTCAATTTGAAAAAAACATGTCGACGTCAACGAAGAGATCATCCACCCCAGGAACAGCTCGACATAGAGACATTCCTCTCCGTAGAAGCATGACTCAACCATCCTCACTTTTTCATTCGTCTTCAAAAAGACAGCCAGTCCTCTCTTCTTCCATGGCTGCAACCGAAGCACAAGTCATTAATGATGAAAACTCTCCACCAAACAAGATGTCGTCAACTTCCACTCAAAAATCATCCAACCACCAGGCAAGAAAAAGTCAGACCGTCTCACAACCTCTCAACAACAAAAATGTTCAAGACATTCAAACCCATCAAGAACCAAAAGCTTCAAAAGTTCCCGCTCTGAAGCGAACCAACTCAACCAACAATATTCCGAATGTTTCTTCTCAAAGTATTTCAAGACTTCATGAGGGCGGAAAGAAACTCAATCTCACCAAGTTAAAAAGAGCTTCCTCTTACCGTAAAAGACCACTCGTTGAGAAAACAATCATGTACAAGACATTGGAAGAAATTTCCTCCACGATGTTACCAAAGTTTAACTTGTTCAAAAAGACCTATCTCTTAAAATCGATTCATGATAATATTTTCGGAAGCGAAACCTTCTTTAAAACACCATTTGGTTTGGACAAGTATGTACCCTTCACCTATTGTGACGCAGTCGATGAAGGAAAACCACTAAGGTTCATTGAAGACTACTTGCATGAACAAGTTCTTCCAACAGTTGCAAACTCAGTAGCGAGTACCAATTCATTCTCTTCCTATCAGTCATCTCAATTCATCTCAGATGCAAAACGCATCATTGCTGCGTGTCTGAACGCAAATGTTGACTTGGAAGAAAAGAAAAATTCTGATGAAACAAAATCTGAGTCAGGAGATGCCATGTTTTTCATCAAGAATTCATGCTCCGATGCGATTCGAGTGTTTTGTGAACGAATTGGATTGAGTGAAATTTGTAAAAGCGTTAAATTAGAGAAAGAACGCCCAGTGGTTCTGGTGTCTCCGAATGAAACAGATGAAAATATTCAAACATGGAAAGAAACAGGAGCTCAAATTGTCATGATTAATAACGACGCACAGGGAAATTTCATCATTGACGAACTCATCATGCTGCTGAAACGATACAAATATTTATCATCAAAATTAATTATTGTTGCCGTCAACATGGTTTCTCCAATCACTGGCGTTTATGTGGATGAGAATGAAATTTTGTCATGGGCTCACGAGTACGGAGCACTTTGTTTTTTAAATTACGAGTATGCTTCTCCTTTTCTTTCGGTGGATTTCAATCCAAACACAGATGTAAAATTACAGAAAGACGCTCTTTACGTAGATGCAAGCAAGTTGATAGGAGGTTTGAATTGTTCTGGAATTTTATTAATGAAGAAGAAATTAATGACCAAGAATGTTGTGACACACCGCTCTGTGGATTTAATTTCGATCATTCGAACAGCTTTGGTGTTGAAACTAAAAGACGATGTTGGCCCAAATATCATTCAACGACTCAATCAAAGATTTACAGAAAGAGCACTCAAAACATGGTGCAACAACTCGAATTTATTCGTTTTGGGACCAACACGCAAAAGCATGGAGGACGGAAAAGTTAAAAAGTTAGCAATTTTTTCCTTTTTAATTAGGCACCAAGATCAATATTTGCATCCTGGTTTTGTAAGCACGCTATTGAATGATTTATTTGGTATTCAAACAAAGAGTGTCATTTGTAGCGACATGCACGGCCAACAGCTGTTAGGGTTATCTCCAGAAAAGATGAAAGAAATTGAAAATGCCATTAGCGGACTAAACAACCAGAGCCATTTGTCACAACTCAAACCAGGATGGAATACTCTTCAAATCAATTACTTTTTTGACGATTCAACTGTGGACTTTGTTGTAAAAGCAATTGATTTTGTTGCGAATAATGGATGGAAATTTTTACCCTTTTACATGTTCAATGAGAAAACCAATGAATGGAATCATAGAAAGTTTGACAAGAGTGTCAATCCAGTTCGTCTTTCAGGACTATTTCATGAAAACTTTACGAGCTATCTCACTACACATAGAAAGAAATTATCTGATGTGACGTTTTCAAACGGTTCTTTGGAATTCGCAAGCTCAAGCGGAGACCTTCACGACACTGAAACCGCAAATGTGATTTTCAATTACAACACCCTCTTGTCATCAGCAGAAAGTTTATTGAGAGAGGCCTCCAATAATTTATTTGCTCTTTATCTCAACATTGACTTGGAATTGAAATTACTTTTTGGAAGTGAAGATTATACACAAAGGAATCAATTCGAACATTTGAGATGGTTCTGTCTACCATCAGAAGCACTCATGGATTTGAAAGGAATTTCAAGAGTGAAAAATCCCAACGGCCCTGTCTTTTCTCCATTCCTTCCTAGTGCAGTCGGAACAATACAACCTCCTTCACAAAAGAAATGAACAACATTGGTATTCATTCAACAATCTCGTAGAGAGAAAAGGACAACTCAAAAAGGAACCGTGAATTCTGAAACGAAAACGTCACTCTTCAATCGGTCAAAATTAAAATCCTCAAAAAAAATTAATCTCTTCACTTTTTCAAGTTCAGGACCTTGATCACGTTGGCCATTGTATTCCTCTTCTCCGATCATCATCATCATCCTCATTGTAGATTGAACAAGCTAATTATTCGACCATCATCATCATGATTAGTACTTCTCCTAACAATAAGTTCTCGGGATTTAGACCTGGATCAGTATCCTCCTCATCCTCCTCCGATCAGGCCACGGGTACTGAGAGTTATTCTTCTTCCTCTTTTCAAAAGTCTCCTTTCATCGTGTCCTCCTCTTCCTCACCTTCATCCTTCATCAACAATCAACAACCACCACCACCACCATTCGGAAATGGAAGATCAGCCTCCTTTCATCAAGTCTTCCCTTCCACTTTTTCTACTCAGAGATGTGGTGGAGGAGTGAATGGTACTTTGACTTCTAATATTATGAAGTATCCACAACACACAACACCACATGGATCTCAAGCTCAATATTATTCCAACAGTAGCAACAATAATACCAATAACAACAATCATCAATTCATGAACTCAATGGATGATTCAAACTTGAACCACTCTCATCATAATGAGAATGTGGTTGTTGGTCAACAACCTAGAAATCAGTTGAACAATCAATGGAAGTCACAACCTGAGATGAGCTCCAGCACTTATCAAGAGAATTACAAGAATCGTACTACTTTTCAACCACCACTACCACCACAACAACAGAGAGTACCTTCCAGAAATGACAGCAGTACTCGCAGTTCTCCATCTATCACGGCTTCACAACCTTTTCCACCACAAGCCAATACTTCGATGGGTCCATTCGGTCAGCAAACCACAAATCAGATGCCAAATCAGATGCATCCAAGCCAGCCTCCATTCCAAGGAATGCAAGGATCTCAACTTTCATCTCAAAACTTTATGAAAAATCAATCAAACAACAACAGCAAGCCATTACCACCTCAGCAAAGTCCTCCATTCACTATGAATCATTCAACTCAGAATGGAAATGCTGTACCCTTTGAACCTCCAGTAGTACAAGGCATATCACAACCATCGTCACAAGAGCCAAGAGGAGTTGTTACAAACAATTTCAGTCACTTGTCAATTCCAACCCAGCCCACATTGTTGAATGGTGAACAAAAATATAACGACCTTACGAGTGCCTACGAAAAAGAAATTGAGAACTTGAAAAATTACAACAACGAACTCAGAAATTTTGTCGATTCAGAGAAGAATTTTATTGAAAGATTGAAAACTTTGATCGAAAAAGCAGAGTATCAACAAGCCAATGTCGCACAGAGACAAATGTCACAATCCTACACCCCTCTTGAAAGTTCATTTATTCAACAAACAAACAATTACCCAAATTATTATAATAGTAGTAATCAGCACTATACAAGTTATGACCAACAACAGTACAATAACAACTCAACATCCTATTACGACCAAGGAAATAACTATTCCTACCAAGGTTATCAATACCAACAATAATTTATTGGTGATGTGTTATTGCTAAACATTATTTGAATACAGCCTTTGAGCTTAGTTGTTTTCATATATTTCTGATATTGGTACTTTATCTTTACATGAATGGGAACAGAACACTCATCATGATTCAATGGTGTGAGTATTGTTTCCATAATTGTCTTCTATTCAAATATTCAGATGAAAACTCCATCATCTACAGCAATTTAACAACCTTTGAGACGTGATTTGATGAATGAAATCATGTTGCCTCAATTAGTAGTCGCATTTACAAGCAAGTTGTGAAATGGTCTTTTGCCTCAAAACACAAATGATTCGTTCCTTCCATTTCCCTGAGTGAAGCAGTGTCGCCAAACAGATATAATGATTGATTGCATCCCTTATGGGAGGAATGCTTTTAAGATGGATTTTCTCTGATTGTTACTGATTGTTATCCTTGTCATGTTTTCAAATCCTTCTCGTAGTACTGAGACGTTGTAAAATGTATGATATCTCTTTTCCAATTAACAACATGGTTTAATTGAAGAAAAGGCCCATCTCAATTTAGTTGTGTTTTGTCTTGCAAGAAAATCCTTATCGCTGCTTGACGAGTTGACACGTCAAGTTGTCAATGGCCTTTCACATATGAAAAACGTCAATCAAAAATTCGATCATTCATACAACCATCCAAATTTTTATCAAAAAAAAACTCTCCCACATAGACACGTCCATACACACAACCATGTCTCAAGCAGCTGAATGGGAACGTATTCAAATGAGAGCCTTCACCAAGTGGGTGAACTCTCACTTGCGTAAACGTAATATGCAAGTCGAAGACATGATCGAAGAATTCGAAACTGGTGTTCCTTTGATCCATCTCTATGAAATCATTTCTGATGAATCATTGGGTCAATTCTATGCTAATCCTCGTATGAAATTCCACAAGATTGCCAATTTGAATTTGGTGGTCGATAAAGTCAACAGCTTTATTGACAGTGTTGGTATTCGTTTGCAATTCTCTGCTGAACAAATTACTAACAAGGAAAAGACTCAAATCTTGGGTATGATTTGGTGTTTGATCCACAAGTTCGAAATTCAAGATATTTCTGAAGATGGTACGTTGTTGAATGTTTCTTCTGATGTGGTTGTTGTTTTTACACTGTTCATACTTGTAAATCTTGCTTGTTGTTGACTTGCTATCATCAATTTTCGCGATGATCATCACAATTTTGTAAAAATTTTTTTTCCAAACTGGTCATCCTCGGCTACCCGAATCTCTCGTTGTTCTCAACGCAACAATCAACAATTATCTTCATCATCACTCACCGATTGGATTCATTCAATTGATGTTTGTTTGTATTCATACCTCACTCACATGTCTGATCGACTTTTCCCATTACAGAACTTTCTGCTCGTGAGGGTCTCTTGTTGTGGTGTAAGAAGAAGACCAAGGGTTATGCCAACGTGAACGTTAAAGACTTTAAGGGATCATGGCAAGATGGTTTGGCTTTCTGTGCTTTGATTCATAAACACAGACCAGACTTGTTGGACTTTGATTCATTGGATCCAAAGAACGCCAAGGAGAACCTCCAACTCGCTTTCGATGTTGCCGAAAAGCAATTGGATATTCCTCAATTGTTGGACGCTGATGATATGATCAAATTCACTCCTGATGATAAGGCTGTGATGACCTATGTGGCCTATTACTGGAAGAAATTCGCCAGCTCTAATCGTGCTGAGAAGGCTGGTAGAAAGCTCGCCAAGGTTGCCAAACGTGAACAAGAGTTGAATGATATGAAGAATGATTATGAGAGAAGAGCCAAGAACTTAGTTGATTGGATTGATGGTAATGCTGATAGACTCTCGGAACCATCCTTTGAACATTTTGGTAACTCCTTGAAGAAGGCTGAAGATCGTAAGGAAGAATTCAGTCAATACAAGGATCAAGAAAAGCCAGGTCAATCCACCGAAAAGAACGATTTGGAATTGTTGCTCTCCAACATTAGAACCAAACAAAAGAACGAAGGTCTCCCAATCTATGAACCACCTGTGGAGTTGTCCACTTCTACCATCAATGACAAGTGGGACAACTTGAACAAGAGACAAGATGTCTATGACAAGGCTTTGAGAGAACACATTACCTTGATGAAGAAGTTGGAGATTTTGTTGAGCCGTTTCCGTGTTCGTGCCAAGAAGATTTCCGAATGGCAAGATGGTAAGAATAAGGGTTACTTCCGTGAGGATTTGAACAAGTTGGATACCATCAGTGCTTTGCAAGCCAAGATTAACATCCATGAGACCTTTGAGGATGAATTGACTCAAGTCAACAAATCTTTGGATGAAACCAACAACATTGGTCAAAAGATTGTGGAGGGAAGACACGAGGCTGCTCCTGAAGTCAACTCCACCATTGACAAATTGAAGAAGGGACAAGATGACATTGCCGATAAGGGTGATGAGAAGAAGAAGGATCTCAATGATCGTCTTAAGAAGTTGGAGGAATTGTTGGGCAAGTGTTTGGATGTTGCCAAGAAGAGTGAAGGTTTGGCCATGTTCTTGGATGATATCTCTTTGGCTTTGGTTGAACCAATCACTGCTTCAAGTGTTAAGGATGTTGATGTCTTTGTGGATATCTTGGCTGATGTTGAGAACCGATATGGAGAACAACAACCACTCTTGAAGGCTGTGAATGAAATGGTTAAGGAAATTCAAAATGCTGGAGGTGATCCAAACTTGTACTCTCCAATCAACAACAAGGAATTGGATGACAAGTTCAAGGAAACTGGTAAGCTCATTGCTGACAGAAAGAAGAATTTGGAGGAAGAAAAGAGAAGATTGAGCGGAAACGAAGAACTTCTCCAACAATTCGCTTCCTTGTGTGACCAATACACTGAATTTGCAGTTAATCAAAAGGATGCTCTCAACACAACAAGACAATCCACTGATAATTTGGAGGAACAATTACAAAAGGTTAAAGAACAAGCTGCCACTATCACTCAACAATCAGAGGAACGTTTCCAACAATTGTTGGAAACTTTGAAGGTTTTGGAACAACGTGAAATTCTAGAATTGAGCACTGTTACTGAATCCGAGATTAAGGCTGTCCATGATAACTTGGAGAAGTTTGTTGAGAAGTCAATCAACGACATTGAGTCTACATTGTTGGCCGATAAGAATGAAGGTCTCACTGAAGAGCAATTGAAGGACTTCAGAGAAACATTCAAGTACTTCGACAAGGATAAGGATGGCAAATTGAGCAAGGCTGATTTCAAGGCTTGTGTTTGCTCATTGGGAGAGGATATTGATGATAAGGAAGTTGATAAGGTCTTTGCTTCAGTTGATAGTGATAGAGATGGATTCATTGAATTCAATGAATTCCTTGGATACATGAGAAGACTTGCTGAAGAAGGTTCAGGATACGAGGATGTTGTTGAATCATTCAAACAATTGGCTGGTGAGAAGGATTATGTCACTGAAGCTCAATTGAGAGCTGTTATGGAACCATCTGAAGCTGACTTCTTGTTGCAACAAATGCCAAAGAAGGGTGACGGATATGATTATATTGCTTATGCTAAGGCTTTGTTCGGAAGAGAATAATTTATTCAATTCACATGATTGTAGTTTTACTTCTAAAAAATTAAATTTATTATTTCTTAATTCAAATTAACTTGGCAAACTTGCAAGTTACACCAAGCTGCGATTATATTATGATGGTTTCAATCTGTCTTCCAAGAAACATTTTTCATAATAATTACAGAAGAGATTACACATCACCATGTATTCTGAAGAAAGAAGGTTTTGTTTTGGTTGGCGACAAACCAATAGTAAGGGGTGTTTCCTTCACGTGTCAACAACAATACCTTGTGTTGGCAAGTTTTGATAGATTGAATTTATAAAGCACTTTGAGGTGTTCCACATATAGACAAGGTTCCCGCCAAATTAACGGATTTCTGCTTGCTTTGTGAATAAAAAAATATTTATTACAGTGGATATTTAATATAATATATATAATCATGGGCAAAAGCAGTAAGCTCGTACAGGCTCTCCTCTCCAGTGCAAATCGGCTGCCTTCTAATATCCATAATGATATCAAATTGGATAACATTGTGATTTATGAAGATCAACAACACGTTCAATATTCGAAATATATTGATTTCGAGCTGTCACAAGAGTTTGTCAAGTACAATATGGACAATGAAGTGTGTGTGGGTTTTGGAGGAGATATTATTTTCAGGTTCAGGAACTCCTGGATAATATCCTCCAGAAAAATTGGCCATTAAGAAGGACCAAGATTCTTTGGACCTTAAAAACTCTCAGTTTAAGTTAACACCTAAATCAGATATTTATTCATTGGGAGTTGTATTTTTGGAAATACTAACTGGTAAAACTGTCGATGACTCTCATTCTGTGGAAAAGGCATTTATAACGCTTTCAAACGACCAGCATTTTGCTCCTTTGCATGACATGCTTTCAAAGATGATTCATCCAGAAAAAGCAATGCGTCCAAAGACAAATACAATATTAAAAATCCTCATTCAGGAGAAGGGGTGGGACCTCCAATTGGCAAAAGAAGGAATTAAGAAAGCACAAACTTTATTGACGGACGATTTTTGGAAGACACATGATACATTCGTTGAGTGTGAAAGAATCGATAATAGTCCGATTTTTGATTTCACCTTTGTCATCTTAAAAAATTCAATCAATTTGGAATCAGAAGAAAATAAGAAACGAACTTGTCACCCTACCACTGATCGTATGACCAACAAGAAAACTAAAAATTATTAAATTCGTTCATAAGATAAAAAAATTCCTCAGCGAAAGAGGCCTTTGATTCAAGATTAATCGAACATGAGTAGAAAATCCACAATCTTTATCTCATGAATGGAGGATCCGCTTTATCCAATGTTGCGGTTCATTTACTTAAATAGGTTGTGATTGTGATTATGAGTCCTGTCGAAGTGACACTATTTGGTTGAATCTAAAGTTCATCACAATTATTATTATTCTTTGACTCTATCTCGTCCTCTGAAACTCTGACAACCGCATACTGACACATACTGAAATGTTTTTGGAGAGTTGGTGGACGAGTTCCAATTCAACAACATGAACATCAATACACAGAATAAATCGAATCTATACTCTTGGGATCCAAATCGAACAACCAAACACCACAACATCATCACCTCATTTATTGAAGCAGCTTTTTCACTTTTGCATATAATAGAATAATTGTTTTTCTATTTTCCTTCAACTGCTGTTTCAACATATTGCTTTCTTGTCTTAATTGAAGTGCTTCCCATTTCAAGCGTAAAAGTTTTTCTTCATGTCTCAATTTGGCAATCTCTAAAGTTAAATCTTTGGAAATATCAAGTTCTTGTTGAATGTCCTTTCGTAGTTGTGAAATTCTTTCCATTTGCGGGTACATGGATTCACGAACATACAAATTCCAATCATTCTCGTCATTATCAGCCTCTTCACCCAGTGGATCAACTTGATTTTCATCATAAGTACCAAATTTTTGGAGAATGGAGTCAGAATTCGAAAGAGTGCTCACAAAACTATTTGGAACTTTTTCAATATAACAATCTTTACGAGAGGAAACCACTTCTGATCGATGCAACCTTATTTTACCAATAAGTCTTCTCAAGTATTCAATATATGCAACTGTTTCTCTTGTTGTAATGGATTTTGGTAAAAAGTAGGAAATTTGAACCTCGTTTCTGAGTTGATGTTTGATACTTTTCTCAAAGAGTTCCAATAATGACTTTTGTTGATTGTTGTTAAATCTTAAAACTCCATCGACATCGTTATAAATAACGGATGCAATTGTTTCAAGGGTTTCCAAATTCATGTCAAGTTTAGAACCTTGTTGTTTCACTTGCTCTTCCAAAGCTTGTCCAATTTTTTCCAGCTGTTTCTTCATGGTGGATGTTAATGTATATCTGAACTGTCTTGCAGCAAATTTTTCGTAGAGAGATTTTGCTTCTTCTCGATTATAAATAATATCCAATACAATCTGGAGAAGAGAAAATAATTCAGTTCCTTTCAACCTGTTTAGCTTTCTTAAAACTGAGTTTTCTGGAGCGTATGATAAGTAATTAGGAACGTCTTGCTCGTGAAGTTTCAAAATTGTATCGAGATCCTTTGCCACTTTCAATACTTCACTTGTGTTCTTGCAATCAATGCTACTCAACAGAATTTTCTTCTTGTCATCAGGAAGTTCAATATTGTCATTGTTGTCCAATTTGCCTTCATATTCAGTGAGTACTTTAGAATAATAATAGATAGTGTTTTTGGATGTATTTTCTTCATCCTCAATTTCCTCATTAACTGCGTCCACATTTTTGTCATATTGTTGCTGCTGGGCTTTGTGTTGAATAAATTCAAATTTAGCAGAGGGCGTGAGAGGAGCAGAGTCTTGAATCTGCACAGTTATTCTTCCTTTTGCAAGACATTCTTTCAGTAAGAACTCTAATCCAGACCAATCGAAATCGGTACGATTGTTCTTAATGACCAAGAAACGTTTGGCCATTTCACACAAATGCTCTTCTTTGAGATGGATAAAAAGCAAGTTGTTGAATGCTTTGTCAGTAATGCTTACAGCTGTTTCAGCCACAACAGTACTGCTTGACGAATAGCTTTGTTGTATCGAAGATTGAGCAACATAGATGTTCTTAATCATCGTTCCAATTGCATTATTTCCTTCAGGCACATGTAATACAGAAGATAAAATAGTGTCATCATTCAAATCTATGATTTCTCTTTCTTCTTGTTGGCAAACAACTTCTCCCAACGCTTGAACAGTTTTCTGTTTAATGTCAGCCCAACTTTGTTTCACTCTCATCCAAAGATCCTGAATTTCTTGTTGTTTCTCTCGAGACATCCGACGGATGGCGTCCTTAATGGTGATGTGAATTTCATTTTCTTCTAATTTTCCACTTAGTCCTCGATGCAGTGCGACATACATTGCAATGAAATCTTGAATGTAGCCACTAAATGAGAGCCAAAGGTTGAATTTGAGCACTTGTCGTATTGTTTCAGGATAGTTGTCATGTTCAACTTCAGAGAAACGTTCATTCAGGAGATCAAGTATTGACTTTGGTGGAATGAACACATCTTTCTGTTTTCTAATGTTCATGGAGGCTTCTTTGAATTGAGAAATTCTTAGCAACGTTTGCATTTTCTCGTTCATCTTGTTGACAATATTTCCATAATCATTTAAAACAGGAATAAAGCAATTATTCATCCAAAAGTTTTCATACTTTCTTATTTTCTCTCCACCCTCACTAAAAAAACCTAAGCAATCATTAGAGGAGGGAGCTTGCATCAAAAATCTCTCCAACACATTCGTAAAGAATATGATTGGATCCACTCTGTGGATCACATTAGGAGAGAACGCGAAGATAGACAAAAAGGTGCACACTCGAGTTCTGATATAGTTCTGCAACTTTTCTAAATTCGAAATATTGACGTAACCCTCGTCCTCAATGTAATTACACATGTGACCTCCTTTTGCACTTGCTTCATTTCTAGCTGGATCAAAAAGAACACACAATGCAAAAGCAGCCCATGTTAACGTATTAAGAGCAGCATGATACATTTGACTTCTGTTCATAATATTATTATTACCAGTGTTAGATATTTCAAAACCTGCAACGAAGCCGCAGTCCCAATTCCTATCTGAATACGTCGAACCAGGCCCAAAGGAATTAGCTAAAACCTCAGGATGGAACAAGCGATTATAGAGATGGTTCTTTTCTTTGGGTATGCCAAGTGTCACCGCAGTTATATTTGCAAACAAATGCAATAAATCCTTGTCGTCGTTGGAATCAATAAACTCTTTTGACAAAGAATACATAGTAAAGGTATGATTCTGTTTCTCAGCTGGTAAAGAAACTGGTTCAGAGGCAAACTTTGTGAAAGCGGGTATTTCAACATCTTCAATGGATAAAGAATTTCTAACATTTGCGTTTTGTAAACACGTTAACACTGCATCACATCTTCTATTTTCTAAAAAGAAATAATTGTAAGAAATGACAACAAGAAGCATTCTAATAGTGTACTTGTGCTGTGGTGCTTGTTCTAAAACGTAGTTCACAAAGTCTTGAGGGTTGTTAGCACGGTCACGCATACTTGTGAAAATATTGTAAATAGCATGTTGTCGATTATGCATGAATGTAAAGTGATAGGACTTGTAGTCCTTGGCAATATTCTCGAGATAATAATTTCCCAATCCAATGCTAGTAAGTTCTGCTCTGTTGCTGGTAAGGACCTGTTCTAAAGAGTCATATCGTGACAACAAAAAGAGTGGCATGTTTACATGCTTTGCCATGGTATCGAGTAATACCTTTTTTGTTTGTGCTGTGAGACCTTCTATGGTTTCTTTTGGATTATTGTTCTCCACAAGGAAGTCTGCGAATTTGGATAAGAGCAGCTTAGAGTTAGCGTTATCGAGGCAAAGATCAAGTTTTTCACAGCCTGCAATACTGTTATTTGCTCCTCTCATGTAATTTTCCAAAAATGAATTCCATGACATTTGCTGCTTGTGGCTAATATACGATGACTGCAACAATGAGATTACATAATCTTGTCTCGTAAGTGAAATATCTTCTGGAATTAGCTTTGCATTATCAAAGTTGTTCAAATAATTTGAAATGCATTTTCTTAAATTTTCATGAAGTCTGTTTTCAATTAATAGTCGAGTAATGTTATCCATGATTGATGAGAGAGATCCAAGATTGATCATTTTCCAAATGGAAGGACCATCACCTTCAAACAAATTGATGACCTCTAGATATTGATTTAAAGAAGGAACCGTCCAGTTATCAAGTGAAAAAGAGAAAGTGAAATGAAGAAGATTATTAATGAAAACGCGTTGAGAGTCTTCTGATAAGTAAGTCATCACAGTTGGACTAATCGTCTCAATTACTTGCGTAAAACATTCTGACAATTTGCTTTGATCATGAATTTTCTTCTCGATACGATTCCATAAATCTTGAATTGGTGCTGGATCGGACATGTCTTCCAATCCATTCATAATACAGTTCAGTAAGTAAATTCGTTCAGTCTTTGGGCTCTTTAGGAATGCTGATTGCTCTGCAAAGTGCTTCATATTGAAGAAGTTTAAAGAATTCAGCCACTCTTTACAATTACTTAGGATATCCATATTTGAAGAGGAAAGAGCAGTAGTGAGTGAAGAGAACAAGAATTCAATACAGTTTCTATAAATATGCTCTAAAGCTTTCTCGAATACAAGTCCAACTTTTCTAAATTCTTTCACAAACCCATCGTTCTCTAAGAAGTTAATAAACTTAAACTCATGTAGTACAGCAAATATCAAACTAATATAATTCCTTGCTCGTTCTTGTTTCATGTAGGTTATCAACTTGTACGTTCGTCTCTTTTCATCAGGTCTCCAAGTTGGTGAAAGTAATATGTCGATCAATTTAATGGATTTATCGTCTTTGATAACGTCCTTCGAAAAATGATATGCAATGGCATCCAAGCGGAACTTTTCAAACTTGCTCTGATCTCTTTCAATAATATCTATAACTTCTTCTAAAATTAGGTCAGCTTCGTGTTGATTGCTCTCTATTCTCTCAAGTAGTATTGAGGAAAAGTGCAGGTTTTCTTGAATCATTTGATTTAAGCTTGCCGCACGAGAATTATATGCATTTTTCTTCAGTGAAGTCTTAATAAACATTTCCATAATCTTGGACTGTAGTACCGCATCATTCGGATTGCTCTGTGACAAATTTTCAACAGATGGAGTTAATAGAATTAACTTTTTGGTGATCGGATACATCATTTCCATGAATAATGAGGAAAGAGTATTTGAAATGCTTTGAATTATACCATTTACAACCTTTCCAGTAGTTATATCTCTACAAGTGTTATTCACAATGGAAGATATCACTTTTGTATTCCATTTTTCAGCGAACATGTTCAATATGATATCTTTTAAGGGTGTGAAATTTTTCAATAATTTTTCCACAAATTCAGTTTTTTGTGTGAGACTAAGCTTTCTTTGTCTCAAAAAGTATTGATTAAGTGATGCAGATGAAAGGACAGAAGAGTTTTCTCTGATGTTTTCTATTAATGTTGATTCAAAGAGAGGAATAAATGCCCGTTGAAATTGCTTTCTGTCTTCCAAGTCAAAAGAATTGATTAAACCAACGGCAACACAAAACCAATATCTTGAATCTTGATATTTCTCATAATCCATATCTTCATTGATTTGTGACTCATCTACCATATCTGGAGTTGTCAAGCTATCAACATAGTAATAAGACCAGTCTGTGAATATAGTATCATAGGCAGGCTTAAAATGTGCGCATTCTGGAGGGAAATGCAATAGAAGAGATACAAACGGCTTCAGTCCATTCATCTTTACCATTGCAGACGACAGCATGTTGTCAATTTTAAACTTGACATAGTTCACAACTTGTTTTGAAATTGAAGACATGTCTACAGTAAATATCAACACCAACTTGTTTGGATTCTCAGCAAAGTTATTGAGTAATTCACAAATATCGATCTGTGACGAGAAGGAAGATATAGATGCCACAGTAATAACATCTGAAGATGTTTCAATGATTTGCAAGTAGTCAGGACTTTGAAAATGGGTTGTTAGCATCTCGTGAATATGTACGTTCTCTGGTAAGCTTTGGATACCGCTGGAATGTCTCAAATATAACAAATACTTGGTGGGATCTTTTCGATTATTTGAAAAGTGATCTTGAATGGCATGTTTCAAAAAGGAGACTGCACAAAAGTGTTCTTGATGAGTCAAATATTCGAGCAAATAGGAAATAGGTATAATATTCCTCATTAAATAAATACTCTCTGGAGCACAAATTTGCAAGAGTTGAAAGTTTACAGATCTAATGTATTCTCTTAACCTTTTGGATGATGTACCTGTGTTAACATTGTTATCTTCCTCATGGTCTTCGATATTGTTCTCCTTCATGAGTCGAACAATTTTTTCATTTCTGATAGCCAGAGGTTTTCTGATAGAAATTTCTTCAGTAGAATCGTTAACCACTCTCAACATGAGCGAATCTACCGTCTCTTTGGAAGTGAGTCCATAAAATGTGATCTCTCCAAATTGTTGAATAAAATCATGGACACCATTTCTTATATGCTTCAAAATACTTTGTTTCTCAGTGAGTGATTCAGAAGGAATAGAATCTTCTAGAATCTGCTCTGCTCCAACAATATATTTTTCAAATCTGTTCAATAAAGGTATCGGCATTGTTCTGTATTGGCTCAAAGGAACATGGAGTATGCAATGGAATTGAGGATTAATGAGACATGGATGTGTGGTTCCTCTAATACTAACGTTTGCAAAATATCGATCATTAATGGATATGAACTGTCTGTTAAATACGTCATAAAAACTTGAGTTGATTGCTGCAGAATTCACTAAAATAACGCAAGTCCCTTCTTCCATGGATTGCTTGACCTCTGAGATTTCTTGTGAGAGAGATAAATCATTTGAATCTTCTTTAAAGTCACTTATAAAAACAACTTTTGTTTTCTGCTTTAGTTTGTTTGCCTTGAAAAGTAACTCAATGGAGGATTGCGACTCACTTGGATCTATAATCATGGTATAACGAAAATGGGATTGATTAGGATCTTCTCCCTGTTGAATATTCAATCGATCAGCAATACTGTCTTCAACAACTTGCATATATTTCTTCGCTGTCGGAATGTAGATCTTGAAATCTGCACCCAATTCACGTCTGATATTGATGAAGAATAAATCACAAATTGCTTCAAAATCTTGTTTAAACACTCCGTTGAAATTTCTTTGTAAAGCATAATAAATATTGTTTGGAGAAAATAAATCACCTTCAGATCTCTTTCTTAACATTCTCAAGAAGAAAACAAAGTCTCTCATATGGAAAATACCACATGACGCAATATTGGCTGCTGTTTGATTAGCCTCTGGCTCTCTTTTGACAATAGGACTCTCTAGCACTTCGTTCACTTGTTGGAAAGATTTGCACAGGGCAGTAATGATCTTTGCATTTCTTGAATATGGACGAACATCATCATCAAGCATGAGGACGCCTTTACATAGAGCTCTCAAATCATCGAAGCTTAAAGAAGGTTGAATGATCTGAATAGCTCTGTTTGACTTGGCTGCATCTAATCTCATGTTAGAAATCAGTACTGTGCAAATATATGGTTTGTCTAAATAGTAATGGATGCATTTGAGGGCATGTTTTTGTTCTATGGGTAAACTTGCTTCATCAATCAATAATGAACATAGTTCATTCAGCATGCCAGCACGCTCGTACTTCTTTTTTGTTTCTACTGAACTTTTTAATACTGTCTCTATTTCTGCTGCAGTTGACATTTCGTTGCATTGGTAGTGTTGACTATGTACAGTCTTCATAGTTGGGAAAAGATTTCGTTTCTTTTGAGTTGCACATGTGTACGATAATGTTTTGCTATTTCCTGGGCTACCGACGATTGATAAAGGAGTAACAGATTGTATACACACAATCTGAGCGAAAAGATTTTCTGCGAATGCTTGCGTTTGAGCAATGCCTGATGGTATAAAATCACAAGCTTTCGCTCTTTGATAAAAATCATTTAGACACCTCTTCACAGTAGCAGCGAAACGTAAATACGAGTAGTGAGGAAATTGTTGTATCACAAGATCGTCAATGACTTTCTCAAATTTTTCTCTATAGTCATGTGGAAGTCTGAAATAATAATTTAAGGCAATCGACATGATGATACTATGAATATGGTTGTTTTCTTCTGTGTCCTCATTCGGATCTAAAGGAATGATCTTATTCTCTCTCAGAAACCAATATAATTTGTTTGCTCTTGTCAAGTCTCTAATTGAAACTCGAATTTTATGTAACCGAGCTTCAGCAACATATCTTTGGGAACAAAAGATGAAATGTTGCAACTCCGAAGTGACTACATCTTGAACTCCTCTTTTCTTTTGTTCTTGTTCTAATAGTAGTCGCAGAAAGTCTTGTTCTTGAACGGGAGATAAATCACCATAGTCAAACTTGATCAATTCCATGGAGGGTGCAAGGTCATTGACAATGTATTCACCTTCATAGTCTGCTGAATTAACTATAACTTCTTCAGATTGCTGTTTTGAACTGGTCTTGGAAATCCTCGAAATTTGAAAACCTTCTTTTAGAAGAGTTGACTTGGTTTTGTTTTTTGGATTGATAGCTCCAATAAAGAAAATAGACTTGGGCAACTTGACGCCATCTAAGGAATGATCAATCATTAACTCCTTAATCATACCCATGCATGATGTAGTGTTAAGTTCATCAATGAATACTACAGTGATTAAATCAGGAATACCTTGCTCCAAGCATTTCCTTTTCTTTTCTAAAATTTCATGGATTTCCTTTCGTATTTGATCAGCAGTAATTCCTGAGTGCATTAAAATTTTGTGGAAGATGCTGGATGGTCTTGCTAACTCAATATGAGACAACCATTCTGCAATGTTCTTAATATCGAACGATGTGAAATCATTGGCATCAAAAGCATCAAAAATTGCTGAAATAGCAGTAGTTCTCTCCAAAAGCTTATATGACTCAAACAACTGTTTAGAAAATCGTATTAGAGACTTGACCAATTCTAAATATTCGTCGTTTCCAAATTGATCTTCCGCTATCCTAAGTAGTTCGATAATGTTATCCTTGACTTTTTCTTTTTCTTCTTTCAAAACCTTTCCTCCGTCTTGAATTTTGTCGTTAAGCTTTTTCCATTCATGTTTGAACCAATTGGAATTTAGCTCATAACGGATATCGGGACAAATTTTTGAATGTGAATTCAACACATCTGCGTAAAATCGTAGCATTTCAGTCTTTCCGGTTCCGGTTTCAGATTGTAAAATTAAGGACTTGCCAACTTTCTTCTTTCATTCACCAAATGAATTTTGATGACAAAATCTTTGGTTAGAAGGAAGTCTGTAGATTCACATAGATTGGTAGCATTGGTGTTAAATGTTGTATTGAGCATGGATCTTATTTTGCTTTCATTATCCTTATCAATGTCAATTATACGCATATCCTCAATGTTCATTTGTCTCTTGCAGCCCGAACACTTGATGATGTCATATTCCTTTATAAGTCCAGAGTCAGAAGGAACTGCAAACAATACAGGAAGGTTCACCCAACTCTGTTTGATCTCATCGTTTGACATAACAATACATTCCTCTTTGAATATAGGGATCAATTTGGTATTAATGGACTTGAGAAGGGCTTCAGTATGCCCAAATATATCTTCTTCTAAGTTGTCCTCAGTTGATCTCTTTCTCATATCAATGTAGTGTTTGTGGAATTTTGCAAGTTCTTTGCATCGTTCATGCATCAATTTGATAAATAACTTTCTGTGGGCGTGACTCGGTGTAATATCTGACCGTTTAAACAAATCACACAAAATCTCTTTCGATTCATGACCTGAAATCAAATTTTGTTCTTCTTGAATGAATACTTCAATATTATTCACGGTCTTTTTGTTGAACAAGTTCAAAATAGTCGCAACATAACGGGCCTTCTTTGATGAGTAGTCAAAAGTGTCAACATTTGCATTCAGAACTTTTGGTTCAGAGTACGACAAAAATTTTAGAAGTTCTAATTCTGGCTCTTTCTTGTCCAGAGTGCAAGGAACCTCAAAGAACAATTTGACACTTTCAATATTTGTTTTCCATGGGTTAACAACAATTTTTCCGTTATCTAAATGAAGGTAGCCTCCCAATAACCACTCCAATATGAATTTCTCGAATTCCAAAAATTCAGCAAAGCAAGAAATATCGAAGTGAAATAATATATGCTTCATGCTTTCGTCATATCGCGACAGACATTCAAAAAAGTGTGATTTAGAAAAGTCCTCTCGTACCGAAACTCTCAAGTACTGTTCAGTGTCACCGCTCTTTTTCTTCTTAATAAAGCGAGATTTTCCACAACAAATAGGTCCCTTCACAAGATGGATGTCTTTGATCTTAAGCTCCGGTTTGCTCAAAAACCTTGTCCGAATAAACTTTTTTATGTGATCATGTTCGGTCACATCTGCGGAAGATGTTGTGCCAATAAACGAAAAAGAATCTCGTCCCATATCAGATGTAAAGAGTAAAAATGTTTTGCCAACACTCTTACTACTGTCATAAGCATCATACTCAAATTTCACTAATTCTTCCTTAACGCTCAATCCAAGATTATTTACTCCCACAATGACATATGTGGAATCAGCAAAAATCTTTCGTTTGTTATTAAACCATTGCATTTCTTCCTTGGTAGTAGATGAGGTGCAATACAGAACGTTTGAATATTGAATTAACGAAGTTGATTTTTCTGGAAGCATTTCTATCATGATCCCTATAATTAAGAGAGGTATATCCTTAGGTGCCACATCAAAAATCGCTTTTGATTGATATTTAGCATTGGATGCTTCAATTTCGGAGTCAATATCGAAAGAAGATAATGTAGTCTCCACAAATCTCTTCACTAGTTCTAAATTGTCTAAATCAGGATTTTCTTGTCTTAATGTGTAGAGTGTATTTTTCACCATCTCAGTAGTAAAGTCCACTTGTAGGCTCTCTAAATCATCGCTTAGAATAGTGTAAAGGTATGGTATAAGATGAGAATACGAGCAATCGTTTGTTTCACCAACTTTAGAAATGTTCAGCAATATTGAAACGAATTGTGTGAGTTGAGGGCGTGAAAGTTTCAGTATTCTTGGTGATTGTTCAGTCAGATGTTTAATTGCGGTCTTCCATTCTTTCAAAGCATTCTCAAAGGTATTGTAGTGTTGTTCCAAGCTTTCTACAGTCATATCTTCGCAAAGATCTATCTGCTCGTAATCTTTATATTTTGGATGTCCTTCCTTGAATAAGCTCAATGCAACAGAGTGAGATTTCAATGCTGTCTGGTACATCATGACAAATAACTTCAAATTATTCTTTAAAGTTGCGTTATCGTTCAAGTCGGTAGCTGTATCAGAAGATCTGAAAATGGAAATTCCTACAAGATCCAGTAATTCTTCTCCAAAAACCTCTTTCTTTTCTGTTTGAATATTGTAATGAATAGCAAGTTCTCCTGTCTTTAAGTTAGAGACATAATGTCCTGACTTTATAATTGTGGAAACAATCTCAAATATGTCATCAAGACTGATGGTAGAAGTTTTTGAGAAGAGAACTTTGACAGTTGTGAGGTTCTCATTGGCAATTTGGAGATCTTTGAGCTTGGTTAAATCCTCTTCCTTCTTAAAGATGTCAATAACCTTCTTGATAAGGTCATCATAAGAAATTTTTGGATTAAGAAATGGAGTGATTAACTCTTTTGCTATCATGAGAGAGTTCACTAACTCCTCATGAAACTTGGTGCTTCGACTGCGTGCTCTTACAATTTTTACGGATTCATCAAAGTTGTCAATATTATCTTTGATGAACTGTAAGAGTCCCTTTGACTCAGGTGCGAGCATCTTTGAAAAATACTCAAAATGGAATGATTCTAATCCATGTAAAGTTTCTTTTGTTTTTTGAAACATTCTATCCACACTGTCTAATGTACGGCCTGACAATAACCTCAATTCATCACCAAGATCTAATAAACGTTGGAACGAGGGTTGTCTTATAATGTCCATATTGTAATCTTTGAGGCAATCTCGTAAACTTTCAATACCCAGACCAATTTCTTCTAATTCGAAAGCTCTTCGTAGAGATTGTAAATCTACTTCGTTCGCATGTCTATCCGATGAGCTGAAAGCTTCAGTGATCATCTCTATTTCTCGTTTCAATGTTGTTCCTTTAGATCTAATTTGCTTAGCCACCTCCAAAATTTGATAATCTTTAAGTACTTGAATTGTGGATTGTTCAATTGTCTTTAAAAAGTAAATAACGTCTCTCAATACATTGGCCGCGTCCTCGAAGGTTGTAACTGATCGATCATGTAAAAACCTGTTAAACAATGAGTTAAAAAGCAAACTCTTATTTGTCTGAAAATGTAAAATGAGAGGTCTTGTGTCATCTTTGTCGAATTCACTAAGCATTTCCTGGAAGATCGATATTTTGTCCTCCATAGCATTTATGGTTATGTTCTCACTAGTAGGAGGCAGTTCCAATACGGCCAGTAGGGAGAACAAGGATGGAAATTCTTTAAACCACGCTATCATGTTTGTATATTGTTCATACAGCTTTTTTCGCTCATTGGCATACTGAAGCTTTGTGTTGAAATTAATTTTCTCTGGGTCTCCAATCTCTTTGAACAATTTAGCTATGCTATCTTTGTGATTACACAACAATTCCATTTCTTCAACCGTCACTCTTTGATCGGTTATTTTTTCTTTCATGTTTCGGATAGGCGTTCTAATACACTGTTCGAATTGTTCTTCGGCATCTTTAGCATTGGTTATTTGCTTTTTCCAAATGGTAATGATTTCAATATACATATCGATGGAATCAACAAATTCTCTGATGTCATCAACAGCTTCGCTGTATGAAAACAAAATAGGGAAAAATAGATACGCATTTTTAGCAGCTGCTAATGATTTGGTTAATTGGGAAGTAACCATTTGTTTTTGTTTCAAAGTAACTGCAGAAGAATAGCAAGAGACCACGAACTTGTTGGAGAAAACTTTGACGAACGGAATTGCCGCATTTACATTTCCGAGAAGACGAAACATAAAGTTCATGGCCTGTAATCTCTTTTCAAAGCTAAATTTTCTTGATAACAAATCTGTAATGCGTTCTCCGAGTACATCCATGTCTTGCGGAGAAATGTCCAAAGACCAATTTGCAATTTGATCACAGTTCAAAAGACTTATGATGGCATCTAAATTTGGCGCCACATCTATCCACTTTACCACAATTGAGTCCATAAGTTCAAAGGAGATTGGTGCGTGTTTTTCAATAAAGAGACCAAGTATTTCAAGTAAGGGATCCAAATTTTTTCGTGAGATTTCCTTTTGAAAAAAGGAAAAAAGCTTTTCTAGATCCACCATTGAGGGAAAAGAGTTTACAACAGTCTTCATTTCAAGGACTGTGATGTTTTTCCAAGATATCCTGGAATTGAGTATTTTGAGATAAGTTTGTCGATGGGTTGGATAACTATTTAAGACGTTCAAAACTTCCTTTAAAGTCTTCTCTTTCAATGATGTTAGATTTTTTGGAACAACTGATTCTATCAATTTTTCACTAAACTTGTAAGAGGAGTTTGGAATTAGTCTTAACAGTAAGGAAGTACAAAATATAATATCGTCAACATTCTCAACTAGTTGATTCCAAACTGTGTCAAAAAGGTACAAATTTTGTCGCAATATGTTTGCAAGAAACTCTTGCAGATGTTGAGAATTATGAGGATCCTTTACCTTCCTCAAAGCCTCTGCAATCAATTGAGGGCAATTGATAGAATTTGTCCTGACATATACTTCATAACACCAATCGAACTCTTTGGAAGAAATTATTCTAACAGTCTTCCAAAAACTAATCCACTTTTTTGAGCCGAGTCGTGTAAGTAATACAGTCACCAAATATTCGTACTCAAAGTGCTTCTTTTCAACTTTCGTCAAATAGTGTCTAAGTTTTTTGAGTATTTGTTTGCTCCACCCAAGACCTTCAATGTTTGGGCCTGTGGCAATATTCGAGAGTATTTCCAAAAGCTTGGGTAAATCATTCTTTTTGTTCAACAAAACTGATAGAACAATTTGAAGAGCTAGAAGTGGCGTCAAAACAATGTGGCCGTTATATAATTCGCTCATCTCACGAATACTTGGAAGCATTGAATAAAAATCTACCTCTACGTCTCTCTGTTGATAAAAATAACTTGTTGAAAGAAAGTTGGAAATAAAGTCATCAATACCCTCCTTAATTGTTTTTATATCTACTTCTACCGGTTTCCCTTCGATGTTTTCCTCCGCCAAAGTCAAAACATAAGACAACATGTTCTCGTTTGGTTTTTTCTTTTTATATCCAAACCAACTTTGGAAGGAAGATACAAAGCTTGATGAGCTTTCTTTTTGTATGTTTTTATCGATATGCGACTTCAAATCTCGTAGAAGCTTTTTCAAAATTTGTAAAGTTTGAAAAGAAATCGTTGATACAAACCTTGATATACTTTGGAAAACTCAAAGTCTGTTCTCTGTAATCAAGTGAAACATCAGTAATATGGCAATTTTCAAGACGCTTTAAAACAGATCTAATTCCATCATTCGATGGATAATACTTTTCAAAATTTTTTCCAATCTCATTCAAATCACTGGCCAGTTTAGAAACATCTCTATCTTCAGAATAAGTTAACTCTTTCATAGGATGTTGTCGATTTTTCAAGTTGATCAATCTCTCTAATCTATTTAAGGTTTCTTGGTTGTATAGATTTTCATTGGGAACATAAGTGTTATAATTGGTATGATCTGACTGGATTGAAGGTACTTGGTTTGAGCTCATATGAGTGTCAACATTATTGTACCCTGTGGTCAATCTCTGTAATACTGAAAAGAGATCACGAAGTAACTATAAATTTGAATGTAACAAATATTTCTAACGCTAAACAGTTGAAACAAACCTGTCTATAATCGTCGAGGGTGATCTTTGATTGACTATACACTTTGGTGAAACTGTACTTGTTAAACAGCAAAATAATGTAATACAAGTTGTCAGTAGTTGGTTGAAAATTGCGGAACAAACAACATTGAGCAAAATAAATCAAAGAGTGAGCGAGTTTTTGCTCGTTGCCGTCAAGTGAAAAACTCAATGGTTGCATCCCGAAACTTGTCATTCTTTCGTTGAAGGCAATTTCTTCGAGAAGAAGTTGTGGTGGGGGTTGTTGCTGACTCTCCACTTGTTCTCTTGGTACATCACCTTGGCCTTCATGATCGAGAGTTGGACGAGAAACATCATTCCCGTGTTGGTGGTGTTCATTCGCCATCGGAGGTTGTTGCTGGTTCGACACTGGATGAGCTGTATCGTCTCCTATGTGCTGTGGTGCTGTTTGCTGCTGTTGGCCCATCATTTGGTGCATCATAATATCACGATCATCTTGTGGTGTGTTGTTTTTCTCTTGATCATTCATAGCAGCAGCTGTTTGTTGTTGGATTTCTGGTGGAACCTGTGCTTGTCCGTTTTCAATTCTTTGATAGATAGGTTGTCGATCGTCATCATTCGTGCCTGGGTCTGTACGATCACCAACAATGTTGTTTGGATTCATCATTGTCTGAACTTGTCAGAATAATATTTGGGAGTGATGATCTGTCAATGATTTGTGGGAGAGTGTGCTCGGTGTGGGGCAGGAGAGACAACAGTTTTTTTTCTTTGATTCGATTAGAATTCCTGAACGTGATTGGTCAAATTTGGATTCTTGCTTTCACGTTTTGGTGAGATATTGCGTGATGTTCGATCAAGCAAGCATTCTTCTTGTTGGGAAGACTCCTCGTACGCTGTAGGATTTTTTGAAAGGAAAATAAAAAGTTAGTTCATTCGAATAATATATTACTACTTGTTGCTCTCCATATTGAAAATTAATTTCAGAGGACATACATTTCTGGCCATCAATGAGCATTCACCATCCGCAAACGAGTTTATCCTTTACATCTTAAAATTTAAATGTTCAATAGTAATTGGTTTGGTTATTGCAACGAGGTTCATCCGTTTGGCTTTTCCGTTCTTCCTGATGTAAGTCCCATTCTTCCTCTCAAGGCTTCTTTTTGAAGTCGTTCCTTTCTGATTTGTTTAATTTGTTCAATTGTTAACTCAGGAGTGTTTTCATTGGTTTCTGGAATGTCTGCCTGAAGCATGTCTTCCTTTGACATGAGTTTATGTTCCACTCTGCATTTCAAATAATCGGAGGCTTCTTTCCGACACTTGGAAGCAAAATTACCATTGTCTTGCAAACATTTAAAATACTCCTCCACTGCTTTATCACATTCATGGAGATGATCCAAAGGAAATGATCCTCTTTTTGGTCCAGGACCCACTCGTACTTCTTTTGCTTGCTGTGTGCCCAAATTCATTATGATGGAAATTAAATTATTTTTTTTAAATATTGACAAATTTTGTTTGTTTGTCTTGTAACAAGATGTTTTGTTAGGTTCTGAGGAAGGAGTATTCTGAATAGCTTGGGGTTTGTAGCATTGTGTTTATCTTGGGGGTTTAATTTTGTTATGAAATTTTAAACGGAATTTAAAAAAACAAAAAATGTCTAAAAAATCATCACAACTTTCAGAACGCAACTCTTCTTCCGATCAAGAGGATGAGCCCACACGGCGACCTGCCTTCACAGGCTTTCAACGATTCATGAATGCAATCTTTATCATCTCCATGTGTATAGATTACCTTTTGAGTGGATTTGGATACGTGTATTACACCAAAGATGCCATTCAATCCATGACAATTTTTGAAACCTTGGATCTTGTTTCATCATCAACATCGTCTGGGCAGCCAAAACAAATGGTTGGAATTGGAATTTTTTCAATGTTACTGACTCAATTAGGATGGATTTATATTGCTCTGGGAGTTTTGGGCTTGTTGTCTTTATTTGCTTTTACTCGGAGGAGCATGTTGCTTTTTGTAATGTCTCTTGTGATGATTATTACGACATGCACAAAAATACATTACATTATTAAGAATAATCCTCATGAAACTCTTTCGTCAGAATTGATCGAAATTGTGAAATTGGAGGTCGTTCGGCTTGTACTTGGATTATTGGTCTGGTTCATTTCTTTTGTGGAATATGTGAGAATTGAGAAATATTTGCCTGGAGCCTCAGAAGTGCAGAAAAACAAGCAAGACTGAAAAGAGTCGCATTCACATAACTTTTTGGTAGTGACAAGCCAGATTGGAGATATGAAGATTTAGTGTGATTGTTTCAGCATTTCCAAACACAACACAGTTTTATTCCTCAACTGAAAAGTAAAATACAATAAAATTTTAATAATAAATTAACTCAATAAGGTTTTCTCCTCAGAAATTTCTTCATGATGCCGCTCATTGTGTATCGTCACAGAATTGTCTTGATGATCTATATTTTTCGAAAAGAATACTCCAACAAATGGAAGTGCAGCAAGTAATGTTCTTGGGATACAAAAAAGAATCATATCGTCATTGTGTTTAGGAGAGTCCTTGGTCCTATTTGGTTTCGTCTTTTTGGGACTCTGCTGAAAAGGCTCGTTGGTTGTTGATATGCTGTTATAATTTGTAAAGTGATGATGTTGATTATTGTCATCGTTGGAATCGGTAATAGTACAAATATTGTTAGATTCAAAAGTTAATAATTGAACTTTTTCACTAACCTCTTTTTCCTGCTCTTTGATTGATGTTTCTACTGTTGCTTCCGACGTTTTTATGGACTGAAAACTATCACCAACACTTTCAGTGCTCACAGTTGCCACAGAATGCGTCTCCTGAGTATCCATCGGTGTTTTCGATGAGAAAATTTGTTTTGTGAGTGGCGAAGGTTTACTGCCATTCATGAGTTGAGAAGTGCTCATTCCTGATATCACAGGTGTGCTCGGAGACGCCCAAGGAGAACCCAACATTTCTTTCTTGGAAAACTCCAGAAATTGATCAGATGTACCACTCTGAAGAGAGGATGTGTCGGTAGCAGCTGAGATTGAATTCGAACACTGAAATTTGAACATGTCAAAATATTGCTCTAATAAGGCAATCTCTTTTTCACAGTATTGAGGATGACTCACTGTGAGATCTTCATTCGAGTAATCAATGCCTAGTAGAGAAATTGTGACATGAGTTAATTTAAAGTCATTCTCGCCTAGAGGTATTTCACCACTCAATACAGATTCCTTAGAAAAGCATAACTTGATTTGCCACTTGAATTGGAAAAGTTGTTTCATGGCTGCTTTTGAAAAATTAACTTGTTCTTTTGGATCATTAGCTTCCAATTTCGCCAATTCTTCATCAGATATTCCGTAAGATTGCATCCAATCGAGACGCTTCATGTATAGCTGTTCCGAGCGCTCATGAGCAACGTAGAAAGTGTCATAAGGAGTTGAAGTAGTAGTAGTAGAAGTATCAGATAGATCACCATCGGATCCTATCCATAATTTCCAAGCTCCACGAGCATCCTTAAAATGAATTTTGTGTTTCATTGTGAATTCACGAAGACCCATCAGAACATTAATGACAATCGTTTGTTGACAGCATTTGAGAAGGAAGAGTAGAGGATTTTTGTTTTCCTCCTTACCGCTTAGAGGTTCATTCGAGTTGTCTTTCTGATCGTCATCTTGTTCCAAAGAAGAGGGATGATAGGAGATGGAATTCATGAGAAAGTTATTGAGAGTACGGTGGTCATTGAAATCAATGTGTGAAATATACTCTTCGTAGGATGGAATATTGAATTCACTGGAAGCATTTAATACATCATCCACAATAGCTCTAATAAATTGATAGAAGATAATTTCTTTTGGAATGTCGTCGGGAGATGTGAGATCGGAATGATTTTCTGGATTGAATGGAATATCTGTTTTGTGCTTCCACAAATCGTCCTGCTGTCGGACAGAGAGAGATTGCGTGATACTTGATGATGAATCAGTATCTTGTGGAAGAGATGGTATATTGATCTTTTTTGGCGATATTAAATATATTTTCTTGAGTAATCGAGGAATATCTTTCGTAACTGGAAGCTTGTCAAACTGTTTATCAAGTATGGCTTGAATCTTGTTGGTGGCATCTAGAAGTGGTGATTTGGCAAGTGACGTTTTGATAGTTGGCGTGTTCATGGTGATATGTCAATAAGAGTGGCAGAATGAAATTGGCAGAGAGGTGATGGAATTTAGATGATGACAATTTAGCAACAGTAGATAGAAGAGAAGGAAGGAAACAGAAATCAAAGAGGCAGGAAAGAGGTACGATGGAATATGAACAGTAGATTGGTTTTGAATGAAATATTGAAATATTGACAGCAACAACAACAAGAATGGTTTGTGCACAAAAAAAGTAAAAAGAGTTGTTGTTGTTGTTGGAGTTATTGTGTGTGGTTTGTTCAGACCAACCAAAATAATCGACGAATCAAAAGGATGACGGCCGTCAATGAGGCAACAAAGAGGTCAAGGATATAATGATGATGGGAATCAATAATAATAATAAACAATTTACGGAAGGATATCCAAAATAAATTAATGAAAATAGTAGCGCGATGATGATAATGACCACGTATGATGAGTTATTGTTGTTGTTGTTGTATCATCAACATGATTGGGAGTAGTGCCGTTGTTGTTGTTTCAAAGATTCGTTGTAACGGTTTTTGATTTTTTTGAGAAGGGATTTTCGTTCGTGGCAAAATGTCAAAGGGTATTACGAATGACAAGTCAGACAGACAGACAGCAGATCCATCATCATGAGGTGAGGCAGTGAATGAATGAAATAGATTCATCAACACCATCATCGAATATCGAATGGTCAAAGTGGATGGACGGAAGGACATGAAACAATGTTTGTCGTCGTCATGACAAAAAGTTCAATTGATCCATCCAATGACAATCAACAAACAAATCATCATTATCATTCGTATCATCATTCGTAACAACAACGTTTCACATCAATAACAACAACATTTCACAAAAACTTACCAATTTGTTTGGGTGAGAGTTGTTGTTGAAACAGAACGGAATCCTCCAACAAGGAAATGGTCGTCGGTGAAGGTGGATAATGAATTCGAGGAGTGCCACTATTCATCATCCTGTTGTTCGAACTAGTTGGAAGGTTGAGAGGAGAATTTGCTGAAGAACATCCATTGATTCGTGAAGAGTGAGGAGAGGTGAGTCCTCCTCCAGCAGCAGCAGCACCAAGACCACCACTCTCGAGAGTTCCGAATAACAGACGAGAAGGAATGGAACGAGGAGAAGAGATGGATTTGGAAGGAGTTGTCAGTGGAAGAGATGTGGTGATGTTGGAATGGTTGTTGTTGTTGGACATTTCTTCTGATGGATATATATGAGTGAGTGAGAGAGAAGGTTGATGTTGTTTTTTGATAATGACCATCATAGAGAGATACCATTCAAAGAAGATGATCATTGTCATCATCATCATCACGTGTGTGTGTGAGAAGTGAGTTGTTGTACGACCATGTCATGACGCAGCGGATGCAAGTTGAGTTGTGTGAACATCACATAACCGCACACCAATAATGTCATAGGTTCAATTTCAGTGGGAATTACAAATTAATTATTATTGAGATGTGATTCGTCGTGATGATGTAAGAATTGTTGTTGTTGAATTGATTGGGTGTCGTGATGTATTTTGGTAGGATTCGATCAACATTGATAACGGAGAGAATTGCATGAATTAAATTTAAACGTAATGATGATGATGAAAGGACGAATGATTATGAATGAATGTTTATATAATAATTAATATGATGACGTACATTCTCCGCTAAAAACACTTGATGAATACTCGTGTACTAGTTCAAAATTAATCTGAAGCTGAAGAACAGTTGGCAATGATTAAAAGTATTGTTTTCTTGTCAGAAAATAGCAGAATTGAATATTGCTTGTTCTTTTTTTCTTTGGAGCGGTGCCACTTATCATCTACCTTGTGGTGGATGATAAGTGGCAGCATCAAAAGACTCTACAAATGTGGAAGCTCAT